TCTGGGTGTAGTAATTACTAAATCGTATCCACGCACAAAAAACTAACCGTAATGTCTGACATATTAGCGGCCGCAACTGTTAATGAACTTGAAATTAACGAACGATGTAAAAATAGAGTTAGTTTGATTTAGGTATGACATGCGTTTTCTTTCATCTTTCACCAGACTATTTTAGTTGCGTGAGCGCCTTTTCAAATTCGAGTTTTTAAATAAAATAAGACCGTTCTGTTTGTGTCGATGTGTAACGAAAACGGTTGAACCTGTTCTCGGGTTGTGCGCTACTCTCCAAGCTCGTCTTAATTTATGAGAAACGTAAATATTTGTGTAAACTCGTGGTGGAAAACGTATCATTTTAGAGCTAAAAGCTCCCGTGGCGCCCTCTGTACCCTAGAAGCTAAAGCTGAAATTCTGCACTACATTTGTTTCAAAATCGTCAATATTCGGCAAGGGATGAATATTTGACTACTATTAACCAGTTAAATACCAATAATTGATGAAAAAAAGGCAAAATAAAAAACTAAATTGCAAATTGTTAAATGTAATCTAATTGTTTAAAAATAAAAAAAAGTAATAATTTTAAAAATTTACAGTGGTCGTCCTAATAAACCGATTTGAATGTTTCAAAAACCATTTGAAAGGTTGAGCGGTCTTTTATATGTGAAAAAATTTTCAAGTATTTGAGGCTGTGCAACATTTTGAAAATTCGAATTTTTTTTTTTTTTCAAAAAATTATTTTGCGAAAACTATGGAACCGATTTTAATCAAATATGGTGTGTTGTTTTATTATAGTCTAATTTTTTTTACCAAAATTAGAATGCCCTAGGAACAATTAAAATATTTTTAAAAAATTATCCAAAAAACTCGATTAATTTGCCCTGTTTTCATCAATTATTGCTATTTTGCAACAACAGCAATAAATTTAAACATTTTTAACTTAAAGCATATTGCGCAAAATTTAATTCTAAAACTTTTTTTTCTCTTCAATATTCTTCCAGAATGCATAGGTTCCAAGATATAGGTAGAAAACTCGGATAAAATAGGTATTTTTTTAAATTTTTTAAACATTTACAATTTTGAAAATGTTCCCGACCTCGCCCAGATCTAGGGATCTCCACTTTAATTATGTGAGTTGTATCATGTTAAATATTTCCTTTTTTGTCAAAATTAAACGTATCTTTTCAATCCATCGTGATATTTCGCCCCAATTTTGCAGTTTGTATAAACATCATTTTTCACGCAACCTTCGTTTCGGTAGATTCTGTCTGACGTAGCCGGGCCGGCCTTGTCCTTGTGTGAAATTTTCAGATTCCACGGTTAAAAATATTCTAGATATTTTTGCGAAACGACGTAAGATAGGAGCCTTAATAAATTTGGTTAGTTGGCGAAGGGTTAACAATTAACACTGGATGAAAATAAAAGTCGCACTGCTGGTCCCTTGTTTCTGTTCGAGTTATGTGTGGGACAGGGCAGGACAGAAATTTAATCTTCCTTCGAGCCTAAAAAAAATTCTTATAGTAGATTTGTTTAAAATCTAATTAGAATGCGTGAATTTTTCCTACAGGTATTTAATCAAAATAAAAATTATTAAATTTAAGTGATTTTTAAAGCTTTCAGTTTCAGCTTTAATTATTTGTTCCAATAGCAGATGCGTTTTTTTTCTGGGACGAAAAAGGGAAAAGCTTGCCATTAGGGGCTGTTTTATTTCGTAGCTTTGTAACTCGTCGTTCGCTATATAGTTTTCAGCAAAGGGTAATTAGGGTTTCGTCGCTTTCTCTAAAAAATTAGCGTGTTCGATTGGGGTGGCCGACCACTCGTTAAAAGCAAGTCCGGTCCCCGTGCAGCGCAGTAGAGAATCTATTGCTATTTAAAGATTCCAGACACCGTGTTGCCAAATGTGAAAAAACTCGAAACAGATGTGTCAAGTTGATCGCAGCCTAAAAAACGTTCCCTATGGATTTACGCTAGTTTTAGAAATCTGCTGTCGATGATTTTCGACAGCTTCATTGTCCTGTTATTTTTGTACTGGCAGACTTGCTGATAAACGTCTACCCAGACCAAGACGAGTGACTGACTCGAAAGATGCGCGAATTTCAACGGAAACATTAATTTTCCTTAACTCAAAAAAAACTTTGGTTGCGGAAACAAAATATATAGAATATATAGTTTCAGAATTAAACTGCATCCTTTTAAAAGGTGAGTTCCTTTCCACAAAACAATAAAAAACGTCTTAAAATTGCCATTTTTATTATTATTTTAGAACCGATATATATATTCCGATGTCGTTCGAACCATTGAGATATTCGGAAAGAGTAAAGTAACAATAAAAAAATCCGGGGTGGTAAATATTTCACAGGTTTCAGCTTACCTCGCTGAATACCCGAATTCCAATGGGGTGCGAACGATACATCACGATAGGTAGCATTCTTGAAGAAAAGTAATTAATATTTCCCCTCAAGATTAACACGGTAGTTAATGTTTGCTTAGCTGTCAAAGTATCGAGTTTAATAGCATTATGAATGGCTTTGCGCTCGACCTTGGTGCACCCCTTAAAACATACCGGGGGATGCGCGCCGTAACGGAAATATCTCCTGTTGATAACAAGGAATGATTATCCGTTCATTAAAGAATTCAGCACGACGAGGAGAACGTGTATAAACCAAAGCAGTTCCAACCGTTACCCGGTCCCAAATAACGGTTCCAATGTAACGGTTACAAATTAACCATTACTTGGAACCGTTACAAAGTAGCAGTTACTAAGTAGCGGTAATAAAGTAGCAGTTATAAAATAATAGTTACAAAGTAGCAGAAGATTTTCCGAAGTAGTTTTCCATTTTCATGTAGTCTTGTTCTTTTTCTTGGTTTGTCGTGTCTGTCTTGGTTTGTTTTATTTTCAAAACGAAGAGTTACGTTCCTTTTTCAAATAGATTTGACTGCTCAAATTTTGTTTGTTTATCTGCTTTCTTCATAGTTTAGATATTCATATGTGACATTTTAATCTATTATTACATACCTACTTCTTTGTAGTCACTTGTAGTTTTGAAAACGATAAATTCGAAACGTTAATTAACCGAAGTGCGTAATGTTTATTTTTCAGCTTTTTGGGACTTTTTAAGCGAAATTCTTGGTTAGGCAAAAATAGTTTCATAAAGACAATCTTTGACTAAAGGCTTTTTGCACATAGGTTTATTGAATTAGTTTGTTCGACCCGACAAAATATCAAACAAAAAATTGCCCTAAATATGCACAAATTCACGTAATTTTGTCTTGACTTTAAAATATTTCCTAATTTTGAATTTATTTTTAGTAAAAAATATCTTTTTATTTGCAAATACCGCATTTAGTCTGACCTAACCTCTTGCACAACTTTTGCAATAGTTTTAAGATGGACCGCTTGTTTTCATATTTATTTTGTCGTTGAGCATAAAAATTAAATTTTGAGTTGTTTATAATTAAATAAATCAGTTAAAGAGCCCTTTAAAATGAGCTAGAGTTTAGATCGTCATATCGTTCAGTCTAAAAGACTGAAGAGAAAATATTGAGTACTAAAATATTCTGTACGCGAGTGCCTTTTCCTTAATTTTTTTAATACAGTTCTGGAATTACCCTAAAGTCGGTTCTGACGTCGCTACTTTCTTGGTCCGAATTTATTGAAGCAGATGGCTTCTTGTACAATGAAAACAGAAAGTTAGCGTCGGCGGAACGTAAATTTTTAATCTAATTTTAAGACGAGACTTAATTTTTCTATAAATAAAAATTGGGTCGGCAAGTGCAGTTGCATTAAAAATACTTTTTAGACCAAGGCGGGAATTTAAATCATCAGTAAACAAAGGATATGTTTATAAACAAACAGCAATCGGTATTTGTGATTAATGCTGGTAAAAATTTTTAAATGAACAACACCAAGTTTTGGTAAATTCCAGACACATTTTTTTAATAATGTGTAATGTAATGTTTTTTTCAACATCCTGTACTCGCCTTGCCTACGTAGTGTATAAATTTGTCAACCATTACAAACTAATTCCGGAGAAGAAAAGGGAGGTTATAAAAAAGTCTTAGGAGTGTAATTTAGACGTGGTTATAAGAAATGGACGGTCAATGGAATTATTTACCTAATTACGGTCATCATTTTAGGAAAAATAACCGGAACTTACACCTTAATCTAAATAACGACCGGAACGACTCTCCAAATTGTTATGGTCAATTTCATACGGTCATCATTAAAGGTGTACACATGAACAGTGTTTAAAAGAAACTCTGCTTTGCAACTGCTAAGAAATTTCAATAAAAACTGTTATTAAATCGGCCAATTTCAAAATAATTATTTTTTTTTGTAAGCCATTTGGTTTGAGCTACTTTGTTTTAGAACATACAATTTTGTTAATGTTATCCTTGTTTTTGAAGATTACATCAGTGCAATTTGTAAAATTAAAACTGTAGAATGTATTTTTAAAAAAATTAGATAACATTTTCACTAAAATACCTACACTTTTGTAACCATTTTGGCTAAACAAGAAAGCTCCAAAATGCGCCAAGAAATAGTTATAAATAATATAAAAATATATTTTTGCTAAAAATAAATAATGATGCATTGGAAAATAAAAATAATTTTTGAAAACATTGACCCCTTCAAATTTTGTTCTTATAATGACACTATGTGTTTGCATAAATTTGGCGTTAAGTTAAATTCCAATAAAACTATATTTTGGTCGTGCGTGCAAAAACAAGCTTGAACTTGTGACCATTTAAAGTAGGACATTTAAATTTTAAAATGTTTCAGACTGTATGACGATGTTGCAAGGCTATGCGGTAATATCCTGTGATGTCTAACAAAATAATTAAATAACTTTGATTTTTAGTAGGGAAAAGTATTGTGTACGTGGCTTTTTAAAAATAGATGAAGTAGATCGATTTGGTATGGGAAAACACGAAAAACCATTGAATTGAAAATATTCAAACAAATTTTTCTCTCCACATTCAGAGGAAGCGATGGGGGTACATACCAGAATAATGTAAGGTTCCATATTCAAGGTCACTTTCACTTTAAGTCACTTAAAATTTCCCCAACATTTTTCTCAAACACTAAAACTAAAACATTCACTCACTGTACACATTATTTTTAGTGACGCCACTAATCTAGCCACTTAGTTTGATTTAAACCTTTTACACAAGCACGCCAACTCATTTTTCACTTTAGGAAACCAACTATGGCGCTGAAATTGATTTATCAGATGGAAAACAGTGATCTTTCATAAGGTTTCAGGCACTGAAACATACTGAAACTTCATAAATTCGTGTTTACAGAACAACGAAGGAGTTACCACTTTTCACCGCTTTATATTTAGCAAATTAGAAGCCAAGTCCGACCTCTTCTAAGGAAGATATAAATATCTTGAGTCTGTTTAATGTACTATTTGTTTGGTTTCATTCAATTTCGATAAGTCAGGTGTTGGCTACAATTTGTCGTGATGCTAATTTTTCAATGTACTTTAGTGTTATTAATATGATTTGTTTTAAGTTTAATTTCCACTTACAATATTGTTGAAGTATCAATTTTTCATTTGATATTTTATCAAAATATCAACAAATGGAATACTTACTCTGATCACTGTTGTATTACGAAAAAATGTCCGAAATGTTTGGATAAAAAAGTGAAACACTGATAGACTATTTCGACTCCTAAATCCATTTTTGATATTTATTTTTTTGTTACACTTTAATTGATTTATTTCAAAAATTGCTTTTTAAATTTTGTAAGTACATTTCTGATATGTTTTTTGCCAAATTTTAATAGCGATACTTTTTTTCAAACTTTATTTTGTAGAATAATAACCATTTATTCTAGAGGCAATCCGAGGTCAATTTCCAATGCCCTGCACCCGATTTACCAGGAATGTTGTTTTCACAAAATATTATTTATTTGAACAACGTGCCTATAGAGCCAGTGTCGTAGTAAAGGTCATGAGCGCCCAGGGCAAGATTTGAATATTGCGCCCCACAAAACTTATTTTGTAGGAAGAGAAACAGTACAATAACTTTAAAGTGCGATTTGGGTAAGTCCTTAATGTATCCGTGCCCAGCAGCCCGCAGATTGCGGGAGTGCGAGCCACCCCCACTGACAGCCCCTAGATACGACGCTGCCTATAACTACTATGACCAAACCATAGAACGTACAGAAAAACAGACTAAACACGTTTTCAGCAGGTTCAATGCGTTCAGATTAACATACTTTTATTTTTGAGAAATTTTTATTAACTATATACAGGGTGTCCCAGAAATAGGTGCCAAAATTTTACATAAACGAAAACTAATTAGTGCGAGTGTTTAATATTTATGCTAGCATAAAAAGTTCGCATCCGTTGTTTGTATTTCATTAAGGTACCTGCAAAATATTTTACTAACATTTCGAAAATATTTATTAAACAAATTTTCTTGCTTTTGGCGAGTGGTTACATTTTGGCACTCATTTTTGGCATATCCGTTTAGCTTATGAAAATTTTTGTTAAAAACAGTTTTTTGTGTAGGCTAGGTTATTTTGACTATCCTAAATTTATTTTTATTAAAACATATTTAATGAAATGATATTTGTCATCTTTTTTCAGGAGTTCTTCAAATGGCAGATGAACGACGAATGAGCAACATTCGAAGATGTATGTTCCTAGTACCTAGGCGTTATATTATATCGTTTGGGGCTAGGAGTATATTTTTGTTGTTGCTCTCATCATCACGATAGCAGAAATCGCGAAGGCATATAATTATAAGTTTATTATCTGAAAGTGCAAAACTACCTCCTCTAATAATAAAAACTATTTCTGAACAGTTCAATTCCATGTCCTGGGTCCTACGAAACTTCGATGTCCGTGAAATGTAAGTGGCGCCATCTGTTGATTGCATAAATGATACCACCATTTGATTAAATGTTTCAAAGTTTCTTAGCGAAACAGAAAAATGTTTCAAAGTTTCTTAGCGAAACAGAAAAATGTATAAAAATTTCATAGCGAAAGAAAAATGTATAAAAATTTCTTAGCGAAACAGTAAAATGTTTAAAAATTTCTTAGCGAAACAGTAAAATGTTTAAAAATTTCTTAGCGAAACAAAAATGTTTAAAAATTTCTTAGCGAAAGAAAAATGTATAAAAATTTCTTAGCGAAACAAAAAAGTTAAAAAATTTCTTAACAAAAGTTAGTTCAAAGTGGTCCGATAGATGGCAACACATACATCTCGTCGACATCAGATGAACATAAAATCATGATATCCATAGTTAGTATGGCAGGGTTGGGGGGAGGGAACAGGTCTTGGCCGACGAATTCCACTACCGCGACAATAGAGTTTTTGTTTTATAGAAAAGTAAAGAACTGTTTAGATATGTTAATATAGTATTTTTTTTTTTGAGATCGTTAAAATACGAAACCTTCCCCCCCTTATAGCAAAGAGTTACCGGCAGTTCAATATCATATTGCGGGTCCTACTAATCTTGGTGCAATATATGTCCGCGAGCTGTAAGTGGCGCCATCTGTGGAATGCATAAAAGTTATGAAATTTGAATGATACCATTCAATTCAATATTTTAAAATTTGCTCAATGAAACACAATTTTAGTTGATATACGAGACACTAAACACTCCTTTTATAAAACTAATTTTATATGATCGACGGCGCCATTGGGCTTCAGTCAGATTTAGACCTCTTGCGACTGTCTCAGTGTTTCAAGTGAAATTTGTCTGCTGTAAGTCCATGAACTTTGAAGTGGCTTCTCATTTAAAAATTAGCCGTAATAATCAATAACTTATTATCGTGCTCCATTGCTCCAATCAAATTCGGTGCTATTAATAGACAAAAGCATTGTATTAAGTTCTTAACGCTTCGCTATCAAAGCGGCCTTTCCTTACCAGGATCTACAGGGTGTTCGGAAGAACTATTTGGAATAAAAATGCAAAATATCGCAAAAATATTTATTCAACAAACTTTTAAAAATATATAGGTACATATAGGAAATTAAATAAATATGTTAAATGTATAAAACAATTGTAAACACCTAGTCAGATAATAATTTGTCAGAGATTAAAAAATATATATTCAAAGAATAAATACTGAATCAAAGAATACTATCTGGCCAAGTTAAATAAATAAAAAACCTATAGTTATTTTTTTCTAAAAGAAAATCGAGGAAAGAGACAGGTCTTAACATGCCATCACCAGCTTTGACGAAAACCACAACCCCATGGAATTACAGTACTGTGTGGTGTTGTGATTTTTTTACTTTGATCAAAGACTATAATATTATTGGTTGGTGTTGGATGTTACGACTCCCTACATCTTACCTATGCTAATTAAAAAATCTTTGTAAAAAAAAAGATGTTTTGTCAAACAAAAGACGACTATCAGACAATATGTTTCTCCTTCAGTTTCATTAACAGAATTAAATTTACTGAAATTGAACAACAATATTCAATAGGTGGATAGTAATACATGTTTTATACATTTAAAACAGATCAAATGGAACATATTATTTTACGGTATTTTTGAAAATTACATCATGCGTACAAAAAAAAACAGAAAATTTGACGCTCTTTTAATAGTATTTTTTTAAATATACCAGGCTTATGCCTGAACTCGGCCTAAAGCAACCCTAACAGCGTTGCATTTATATATACAAATGTACAACAATGTTAAAATAGAAACAATTTTAAGGAACATGGTGCTGTAAGTATGCCGTTAGGTATCACTCGGGTATAAACCAGGTTTTACTCTCAAAAACCAGAACTTGGATTTACCCAATTCAAGATAAAAAAATGATTTTCTTATTTTAATCATCCGGAAAGTCATAAAAAGAGTAACTTGAATACTGTGTACTGCTAGTACTGGCATTTGAGCTGTTTAAGTTGGTACCATCTGACGGCAGTGGTACTGGCAATGGCCTGGCGGGTTTTCGAGGTCTGTAAGTACCCCTTGATCCCGCATTCGAAGGACCACCCGGCTTTAGACGCGGTCTACCTGGACCTCGCCGTACTGTGGGTACTTGTGGGGCAGTACCGCTGCTTGTACTTATCGGTACATCCATGAAGGTACCAGAAGGCGACGACTGAGACGAAGATATCGATGAGGCCGAATCTGTAGGAACAGGATCTGAAAAGTTTGTAATATCCTCAATGAGTGCACAGACTTCAAATCTGTTAATAGTTATGATGATAATTTTAAATTGAAGTCAGAAATATAAAAAATGTTCCCCATTTAATTACGCAAAGAAAAAAAAAGTCGTCCCTCATATACAGGGTGAGTCAACGCTGTGGCAAAGTTGATTTATCGCTAGAATATAATTGAGGCAAAATATTTCAAAATAGGTTCGTGTGGGGGGAGGGCAAGAAATGCACATTTTAAAAATAATTTTATTTATACAGGGTGATTCGTTTTGGGGGTCTGACCAAAGTTTTTTTAAATGGGACACCCTGTATTTGAGTGGATATTTACATTTTGCATGGAATTATGCAACTTTTTCGTAATAGGTAATGTGTCAAAAAAAAAAAATAAAACTGGTCAGTCCTCCGAAAACGAATCACCCTGTATAAGTAAAGTTATTTTTAAAATGTGCATTTCTTGCTACCCCACACGAACCTTTTTGAAATATTTTGCCCCAATTATATTCTAGCGATAAATCAACTTTGCCACAGCGTTGACTCACCCTGTACATTCGCAATCGATTCAACTGCATAGAAAACAAAAAAGGGAATAAAAAATCCAGTGTTTTTTTTAAAACACTTTTTATACAGAATTTAATGAGTAGTTAAAAAATTATATTATCTTCGTCACTGAATACATTATTAGATATTTTAATTGTGAATCAAACCGATTATGACATTCATTATTTGTGGAAACTGACATCTGGTTTTAATTTCTGAACAAATTTAAAAATAGTTCAACAATTTTGTCCAGGAGTACCTTTATTTATTTTTATTTTAATTCCACAGAAATAGAATATATACAGGGTGTACATTAAAAAAATAAGATTTTTATGATCAAATTTTGGCCGTATTTTATGACAACTTTTATGAGATTAGGTTTTTTGCTGTGTTTATATAAAAATGGTATTCTTTTTTAAACAAGTGAAAAATTTGTAATAAGATAAATAGATTTAAATTGTTTTATTATTATTTAATTTTGAATCATGGCCCAATCATTTCCGGACACCCTGTATGTCACGGAGTAGAAGTTGGTTGATTTTAGGAGTCAGCTTTTCTCGGATATGGATCGATTCCAATAAGAGCGTCTTATTTTATGTAAAAATACGACATATATCGTAAAAAACCTAACCTCAAAAGAGCCATGTCGAGAAATGTCACTGAGTAACGTCGTAGCTAGCGACCTCTAGCAGAAGGTAAAAAACTAGTAAAACTGGCGTATTTAGCAAGCTCAAAAACTTACCTGTACCAAATATCAATGTATTAAATACATTGTTATTTTGGAAAAGATAACGCTAAAATTTGATATAAAAAAAATCGTAGATATTTGACGCCCTGTATGCTAAAATCATAGGTTGACGATGAATCGGAAATTATTCGATGTTTAAAGTATCTTTTTGCAAAACACCCTGTATATCTAATCACTTAAAGGGAGTTGATAAAATCATTATTTATTATAATACATTTAGCCCGCCTTGCCTAGTTATTTGAACCATCTTGCATCTATTATGATGTCCTACATACGGGAAGGTGTATTTTAAGTCCGGTTATGCCCCCATCTGGCGGATATCCTTTAGGAAATCTATTGAAATCAGGTCTAAGAGGCGTGTTCAAGTTTTTTTGCAGGTACTGCGGTTTAAAGGACTGTATTCATATGAAATAACCGCGCACCGTTAAAAAATAGAACCCTGCGAAGGTAGTCCAACACAAAAAAAATTTTGATAAAATTACTAACGCACGTATCGGTTGGTTTTTATAAATTTTCGTACTCACCAGCTGAATACACCCCGCTGGACGCTGATGAGGCTACTCCCGACGAATAATTTCTGTACAGGCCTGCAGTTCGACTTCTAGATCCCCTAGGCCGCCCCCTACGCGACGTTCCACGTCCAGGAACGCGCGGCTTCACCGTCGAACCGTACACATTGTACACAGTGTATTCTGCAACAGGAAAAAGTCCTATCTTATTACGGAAAGTCAAGTACAATTGTGTATAAAGTGGCAAATTTTCAAAGAACGCTTTGAAACGTTGGACCTGGAAAAAGTATTACTCACTGTTAGTAATTGGCGAGTCGGCATCGTCGTTATAGGTGTCTGTCAAATCATCCGTCAAAATATCAGCTGAGTGGACGCTACCTGGACTGTTGGGACCGCTGTCCACAGCGTTCCCATTGCTACTAGTGGGTTGCTCCTCAAAGCAGCTATCTAACGACTCTTGCTTGAGACGCTTGGCTTCAGGTACGGCAGGTATTGTCTGGAAAGCAAAAACAACAAGGCTTGACGCACCGTAATTGTGGACGGCGGGTAATTTCGGTCTCTCAACGGTGACACCGGGATTCGTCAAAGTCCGCCGCCATTGTTTTGGTTCAATGCTAAATAAGCTGTTACTTCGCGCTTTTATTTTTTGCAGATCTTACGATTTACACAATTTTGTGAACAAGCAAACGTACGGAAAAAAGACAAAAACATTGGATCAAAACATCGGAAAAAATTTGTGGCTATAAAGTTTATTACAATTTTGTTTGTTGTACTTTAAATATCGTAACAATTGATTAAAATACACGGTGCTAATTGAGTATGTAGACAAATTTTAAGAGACGATTCACTTAAACTGTAGACTGTACAAAAATATTAATATACAAAACTTTAAATTTACCTTGAAAGGCAATTTTCTTTTCTTGTCCTCTCCTTTATCTTCTTGGGGATTTTCGATCTTCAAGTGATCTAAAACAAAGAAACGTTACCCTAAAACCAAGTTTAACCAAGCGACTTACATTTTTGTACTAATTCGTCATCGTCGAGCAAAAGCGATACCACTTCCTTAGGCTTGAGGGTGTCTGGTTTGAAGTTACCTCCACTGATAACCAGTTTTTGAATCTAAAAAAACACAAGTGAAAATGTTGCTATTTATTAGAGATACGACGCAAAGTTTACCTCGCTTTTTTCTCTGGCTCTTTGTAAAATCCTTTCCTCTATAGTACCTTTACAAATCAGTCTGTAGACCGTGACTTGCTTCGTCTGACCAAGACGATGGGCCCTATCCATAGCCTGTTGATCTACAGTGGGATTCCAATCGCTGTCATAAAAAATCACCTAAAACAACGGAATAGAAAATTTAGCAGCTCGCATAAGCGCTGCCAACATTGAGGAGAATTTTTTTGCGATACCGCTACGCTCTTATCTTAATTTCGCCGCAATAGGCGAAATGCGTTTACAAAGCAGCATCCCGGCTTCTGATAGAAATGATATGCATTACAGCTTCACAGAAATATGCCTACGCGGCCTCTCGCAATAATTTAATAATTAATGTTGGCTGAAAAATTTCACACGGGTTACATCACGTACCAACGTACTGTATTAAAATTCAATATAATTCTCAGAATCGCCATATAAACGTATTCAGGCATTGAATTATTTAATCGTAAGTGACGAATACGCCAACAACCACGCTCAAAAACGCAAACCTAAATTTACTAAATACCACACATATCTGCCCGGTTTTTGTACACAGAGTGTTAGTTTTTTAATCAAAAATCGGCTTTAAATCCTATTATTGCTCGTATTATAATTATTTTTTTGAAAGTGCAGTAAAATTCATACTTATTCGAACGTGAAAGGTTACAGTATTATTTTTTTATATATTTCCAGTAATTTCAGTGCAATTAAGAATCTTCAAGCAACAGATTTATTACTGGTGTGTTTAATAAAATCATTTCGCAGTTGCAGAGCTCCCGAGTGAGAGGTGCATTCTTTTTATAAAGTAAACGTTAGAAATTTGTGATGTAACCCGATTGATGCGTTCATTATATGTAAATGTTATATAATGCCTTCAATTTTATTGATGCAACAAAATGAGAAACGTTTTCGCAAATATTTACCGATTAACTAATATCCACATAAATGAGAATGCAAAAATTCTTGTACGTCAAACAAAAGGAATTGCACAGAGATCTAAAAAACAAAAAAAAATTACTAACGTTTCGAATGCGTAATTGTGAAAGTGCGACTGTGATTAAATTAATTTCAAAAAGGAGGTTTTAGTGGCTGAAATAAGGGGTGGGCGAAGGGCCAAAGGGAGTGTTATCCCTCGTGGCAGTGACGATTCCCAAGAAGTGGTTGCTGTGCCACTCCAGATCTCCGATACGTGATCCCACACGTGCGGAAGGCAGGAAGTGGTATTACACTACTCGTTTCTTCCGGTATATTATTCAAGAACAATTTAGCTACTCCTATAGAGATGCTGTCGAGTTGTTTTCAATGCCTTGCCTATCTGTCATTTGATATGCCACTTCAAGGAGTACATTCACGTGTTGAAGTAATGACCGCTTTACTGTTCCGGGAATTTACGAATGTTAGGCCATTTCTCACTCTTTCCTTCTGCCTATATTATCTAGAAATTACACGTGTTAGAGCGCAACAAACTATTTTCAATTATCTAAATTGTCGCGGCGGCAAAATCAAAGGAAAATGAACTAATTAATTCCAAAAAGTTATTCTAGTAGGCACCATTTGACAAAAATATAGAAATAATTTCAAGAGCTAGAAAAAATTTAAATTACGCTCGCCTGAAGGAAAAACATTTTTTGCTTTCGAATGTACAAAAATAGTAAACATTTTCTTTTGTACCACCTACCTACTCGAGATGTTGCAGTTAGGAATTTACAATATTTATCGTTAACGCATAATTCAAATGATAAAAAAAATAACTCCAAGGTGACTCATGGAAGACGATTTTTTATTTTAATTAAATTTTATTTGAATTAATCATTTTTATTCCCATTAATATAACCTACAACTTACATTAGATGGCTCCTCTTCTGTGAGAGCCATTAGAGTTTTGGCATACTCTCGGATGTGAAACATGCGAAAAAATTTCAGCTGTGTCAAAATGCAAAGGTAACTGGCGGCAGTGGCGGCCTGTTACTTCGGCTCAAGTGGAGAATTCGGAATATAAAGAAATTATTTGCATACCACCGATTCTGCGGGCGAATAAAGTAAAGTCGTCTCAAAGCATTTTTTGTTCGGCTTTTGTAACCGTGCGCAGGTCCGGACGTGCCCATTTGTCCACCAAAAGCCCCAGTCAAGAGATTTGTTCTACATCAGAGATGACCTCACAAAATTAAATTCCATTAAATTGAATTTATCGGTGCGACTATAATTTTTGGATTTTTTTTTATGAGATTTCTCAAATTGTTATCTGTATTTTATTGTTTTTCTAATATTTAAATACTTAAATTTTCGTCGAAATCTTGAGGGATTTTTCGGGAGGGTGAATTGGTTGGAGTCCGTCACTGTGCCGCCTACCTCTACCTGTTAGTGGCCTGTGAATAAGGAGGTGGACGGCGGAATCGGAATAGTCTGACGTATGCTACGGATTTGCTGAGAACTTTTCACGACGGTTCTCCCAGCATGTTTGTCGAAGTACGTGGACATCCGTTACACAGCGGCGCACTTGGGAACCCGATCGCAAATAACATATTTATTGTTTGATAATTTGTTAAAGTCAATGCCGTGTCCAATTCATTCATTATTCATCGACGGTTTTGCTTGCCGGAAAAAATGCGGTTAACTCGCATACGGACCTAGGGAACCCTAACACACTGAGCCGTGACGTCTTTTCACACAAGACGGAAAGCAATTTTTTTAGTTCAGAAGAAAACGCCCCCAAAAATAACTAATATTATAAGGATATTTGTCAAAATAATTTTATTAATTTATAAATCACTAATTACTAATATCTGAAATTTCTAATAATTGTATGCGTGAGTGTATGGTTCGAAATGCAAATTACATATTAACCGCTGACACTTAAGTATGTATCACCCTGTATGCCGTCTGTAAACAAATATTTCCGAGGTATCACCTGCAAACACACTGCGTCCATTATTTCGCGTATTATCATAGTAATTACCTATATAGTTATTACCAAAGCCTTAATTGAAGGCCTCAACCACAAAAATCGATGGTAATAATTCAGCATTACAATTGAAACGAAATTGGATATTAATAATTAATTTATAGCTACAATTAATTTCTGCTTGGGCATTGACAACACATTACGTTTGAATTTATCGTTGTATATCACATTTCCCGGACATTTATCGCTTTTTTAGCCGAAGGAAATGGTGTTCAGCCACGTAGTAAAATCATAAATCGGTAGCGAACCGTCTATTCACAAACATCGTAGTTAAAAATACCCCCGAAGGGACAGCGAGCAGACAAAGAAAAAATTGAGACCGTCGCGTAACAAACAGAAATAAACCGAAAAAAAAAGGAGTTTCACTCCTATTTTCTTGCGCTCTTTCATTGCGAACAATTCTTTTCCAGCTTACTGAACCGGAAGGAACAATTCGACTGTGTTAGATAAGTCTCTTAAAAGAAAATACATTGCTCGTGCGTTACTACGATATTTCGTTTTCTCCCAAGGAAGCACAAAAAATCGTGGGAGGGGAATACGCCTCCAATTTTATCGTAACACGATTTTTTACACTGAAAGTAAAGAAAAACGGCGAAGCGCTTTATAAAAAAAAATGAATTTTTTAAGCAGTAATGTTTTATTTGCAGGGAAAACAAAGATTTTAAACCAAGGATTAGATGCATTGTTCGTAAAAAGGTTACATGCAGTTAACAGTATGGAAGTCAAGGTAATAAACATATTTTCCCACGCCTTCTATCCTATATAGGTATTACCCGATACAGTCGATTATAATTAAGTAGAATTTGTCGCGCATTTACATTACGTGTGTGTGCATGCTTTGTACGGGACAAATAACTATCTTTCCAACCATGGGCGTGCAGCGGAATTTATTCAAAAACAAGTATTTCTTCACAAGAAACAAAATGTGTATTTCAAGATGCATGTTGGCGTTTCCAGTTCTTATTCTTATAGAAACATATTTAAACAGTAGAGTTCTTACTTTGCCAATGATTTACAATTTTGAAATATACACTTTTTAGAGCAAAAAATAAATAATGAATATCGCAATGTCAGTACCTACCAAACAAAAACATAATTTTCATATTACTTATTTAACTTTAACTTTATTTAGTAAATGAATTCCATATTAGAAAAATTCTAACAATAATAGGATAAAAATCCTACGCGATTTATGTTTGTAAGCTTAACAATTTTTTATTATACTCTAAATTTTTTTTTACCAAAGTTAGAATCTCGGAGCAATTAAAATATTTTAAAAAAATTATCCATGAAACTTGATTATTTTGCCTTGTTCATCTAAATATATAACAATATTTCTTGGTAATACATAATTTAATTATGTTTTTATAATTGAAAAAATGCCCTATAGTTGTTATCATTACAAGTCATTGCGATAGAAATTTTTGTCGTGCCAACGCATTAGTAGTTTGTGAAAAATTTACAGTTGACAAGGTCACAAGGTGCTTATTTTCTTCTCCAGAACGGGTACTACTTTCGCATTCCAAGACCGTTCCATTATAAACTTTCTGTTAACGTATTTTATATTCAGAATGCATTTTTACTTTAATAAAGTACCGAGTACTATTACGTATTTCTCAGATTGTAACATTTTATATAAACAATGAGAAAATGTCACCGCTGTTACATTCACACGGCATTTTCTCCGGAAGGGAGGAATTTGTTATCTTGAAACAATTTTTGCAAATTGCAGGTATGCATTGCGACAAATTGGATTATTAATATGCCACTTTGAGACTGACAAGAAAAATGCATGCGAAGAATTCATAAATACGTGACCAATTAGGGACGATTCAACTGCATAAAAACAACTATCAGCGCTGGCCATGATAAAGACAGTTCTCCCATAATTAACGACATTAAATTATTTTCAACTAATACCACTAAACAAACTATAAATATTACACAGTATTAATATTTATTGTAATGCTGCACCTCCGTCAGCAAAAGTAACTGTGAAAAAATATTTGTTGATCAACATAATGACACAAGCCTTACTATGATTTTTAATAATTTTAAAGAATAATCCCCAACAATTTTAGGATTATTTATCAAGAATGAGATACATTTATCTTCATCGTCATGTATAGAATGAATGCAGATTCTAAATATGTATTTTATATTATGAGAACTTTTTATTTTAATACCTCTGTTGCAAATTAAATATTTCAAACAAAATAATTAAATACGAATACATCCTCTGAAAATAAAACCGAAAATACTTCAAATAAAATGGTCTGATAAAATGCTTTATTACTTTTAAAAATAAATCTGTGAAATCCTAAAAATCCGTTCTATTCCAGTATTATTCACTGGTCCCTAGCGCCATCTAGTGCATGGAAGCTAAACGTATTTACGTTATGTAAAATACAGAAATCTGTAATTTAATACAGGCACCTTTCCACTTACAATTTTCAGAATACGAATGACTGCAGGAATCTCGCAAAACATACATCGATTTAAAAAAAAATTAAAAATTAAAAGATAATTTACAATGGGCAATTATAATAGCCTACAATAAAAATTGGACCAATTTTGATGAAACGCACAACCTGGGACGATTTTTTGGTCAGCTGCTGTAATTTTTAATGCAGTTGCAAAGAAATAGGTCCAGAGCTATGTTTATTGCATTGCAGCAGCAATTTTCGTGAAGGGCACTAACTTCAGCTATCGAATAAGTAATTTCAAGTACGTTTTTACATTTTTCAAATTTGGCTGTTGAAAAATCCAAAAATTATTCCAAAAATTCTGAAAAATTTTAGCGTATTCTCTGATGAATTTCAAGAACTTTTTCTATAAAATTTTTTCTGAAACGCCCTCATTGTCGAGGAAAATTTTTTTTTACAAATATTTGATTCAAATTTCATCGGATTTGGAAAAAACATGGATAATGGAATGAAGTCCCAATCTATTAGCTTGAATGTGTAGTTAGGTTTAAAATGTACTGGCTAATTCAATATTGTAACCCGAAAACTAACAAAAATTTTTTTCGTTGAATGGGCTATCTTTTGATTTTGCCTGTTTGCCGTTTCTGATTGATGTGTTGCCCAACTCTTACCAACGTGGAGGTCGACGAATTAGTTTTATTTTTGTTTTTATGTTTTTTTTTTTGGAATTTTATTGTAGTTTATTTTTATTACGATAAACCTATTTCTTCCTATGTTTGATTTCATCAATTTTTTCAAAATTTTTGGGATGATTTTCTGATATTTCAAAAAACGGCAAAAGTTGAAAATTGTAAAAATGTCTCAAAAAATTGTGAAAAACATATTTGCTTAATTTTAACAATTTTCGTTCTATAATATTTTTTCGAAAACCCCACCATTTTCAAGAAAAAATTCCTAAACAATTAAAAAAATATATTTGCCAAATCAGTCCAGCCGCTCTCAAGTGATGCGTTTACCAAAGAACAGCATTTAATTATTATTTAAATAAATATAATATACGAATACAGAGCCGTCATAAATTTTTAGAAGCCACATGACAGGTAGTTTTGTCTGGAACAGTAATTTTACTTCCTTTGTCGCAGGAACGGAGCTCCGGTTTTGTTTGACAAACCACGCCCCCCATTTTCCACCAGATTCTACTCAACCAATCAGTGGATAGTGTTATCTCGAGCATAGATGTAACGGTTTGTCATTGTTCATTGTAAACGTATCGTTAATATGAGTGACCCAATCTTTATACGACAGTACGAACAATGTGCAATGTTGGTTGCATAAGCTCAGGGGTCACATGAATTGTAAAAATTTATGAAGGGTGTACATATAAAAATTATCTATTTCTATTTACTTGGAAAATATTATTTTTTCGTTTTCTAAATTTGTACTTTTCATGGCCCTCTGCACATATTAAATATTTTTGTAGTTCAACTTCTAAATAATGAATATGCGATATTATCACACGACTTTGTCGTTATAAAATGCACGAGTAAATTCTACAAATTATTCGTCCATGAGTATATTTCGTAAATCCAGATAACTTTATTTGAAATCCGAAGCCCGCAGAATGATCTCGAAACCCAAATGTGCAATGTTGGTTGTATAAGCTCGGGGGTCATATGAATTGTAAAAATTTATGAAGGGTCTATATATACATAAAAATTATCTATTTCTATTTACTTGGAAAGTATTATTTTTTCGTTTTATAAATTTGTACTTTTCATGGCTCTGCGCACACATTAAATATTTCTGTAGTTGCATCTTGCAGTTTCGGGTCGTATTCCACAATATTTTCACTCCTCATCTGATTTCAACGTGGAAATCCAGTTTGAAAAAAAATTTTAAGTGAAATATTCGGACTTTTTTGGAAAAACCCCATATAGTGACTTCCAGTTACATTTTTCGAGGAATCTGATCACCGATTCTGAAAGTTCAGATGATTTTACGTCGGACATGGTAATTTCTAATTTTTTTTTACGATCTTTTTTGAGTCACTGCAGCCGTTGAAAAATGAAAAAAAAAATACGTCCCTTCAGGCGTTAACGGGTTAATACCCAATAACTTTGAAACGATGAAAAATTGTGCGCACTTGCTGCTGACGTTGTTTGCGTCAACTTAACTTTGTGAATCCTCGTATTTTAAAACGAAATATGCAAAAAATCGAGAATCAACTGCACAGTGTCGGCGCCAGCACGATCTCAATCCATTCTGATAAGCGATTGTAAGCTGTTGGATTCACATATCTACAGTCTTAGTGCGCCAATAAATTATATTTCAAATATGACTTAGAAAATAAAAAATCGGTGTGTTGCACCGAATATTTAAAAATAACAAGATAATAAGAACCGATTGTTTGAAAAAGCATGCTCTACTAACCGTGTCAGCAGCCGTCAAATTGATGCCCAATCCTCCAGCTCTAGTTGATAACAAAAACACAAAAATATCGGTCCTGGCCTGGAAATCGGCAACCATATCTCTTCGCTCAGAAATTTTCGATGAACCATCCAGTCTCATGTACTTATGATGCCTGTGCCACATATATTCCTAAAAAATATTCAACCAAAAATTATTGACGTTTTATTTCATCCAACTCCCACTCACCTCCAACAAGTCTATCATTTTCGTCATCTGTGAATAAATAAGGACCCTGTGCCCCTCCTCCTTCAGCCTCTTGAGAAGGCCATCCAGTACCGAGAGTTTGCCGGAGTCTGTAACCAAGCTCTCCTTATCCGGTATTGCGATATTTGACCACCCGTGCGCAGGACGAATATTATCGACGCCATTAAACGGTCGCGGGTGTAAGCTCTCCGCCGACTTGAAGTTGTACTTATTGTCTGTCGCTCGTGACCAATAGTGATTTAACGAGTTAAAACTGTAGTCGTCTATGTGCCGTTTCAGGTCCCAAGCCGCCTTACGGGAATAACAATACATTCCTACGGGGGCCGTCGCAACCTACAACAAAAAAATATATATTAGTGGATTTATAAAATAGTATTATTTTTGAGGGGTACTTACTTTTGGCATATTATAAAACAAAAAAGCAGGCAGTTCAGTCTTAACATCCTTGAACACTTGGGGTCGTCTCTTCAAATAAGGAAACTCGTTCACGGAAATGGTTTGGTGTGTTTTCTAAAATAAAAAATTAAACCTTATTTACGAACCGCTTAAAAAACTACTGTTACATTCCATTCGTCTTATAATTATCGCTTACCAATCCATCTTCATTAACAACGTCTATTATAGATTCATCCTCGGTGCTAGCCTCCTTATTTTTCAACCTAATATTTTTATGCTCTACGGTTTCTGGCATGGAATGATAAACGTGATCAGTATGGGTATAAATAACTCTGTTTCCCCTAATACGTCTTGTAAAAACTAAATCTAGCAAGACGTTGCTGGTTTCTATTTGCGAATTGTTCATTTTAAAATCACACTTCAACCTAATTGACGGTTTATTATACAAATCAGGATTCCAAAAACGCTCGTGGTGCTGGACATAGTCCTGTTTTTCAGTCTCGAAATAGTGACGCCACCTAAAAATTAAAGACACTTTCGATATCTATTTTTTTTATACAACAGTAAAAACTTGCCTGTGCAATACATCTCCTTGGAAAATTTTATAGAGATCGTCAAACGATAGGTTCAAGGCAAAGCAAAAGTTAAAGATTGTCTGCGAGAAGCCGCTATCGATAGCATTAGCGATATACTCGGGAGTAAATACAAAATATTTCTGAATATACAACATCAGTATTTGTCTCACGTTATCGTTGTATACTAAACGCGGTATGATGTACTGCAGCGGTGGAGTACTTATAGGAGATTTAGCATCTCTTCTCTCGAATAACTCCGGATGGTTGCAGACCTGAAAGATATACGGCCATTAAAAACAAGAAATGGTTATTAAAATGCAATATGTCCGTATCAGTTTATAATTTTATACACAATGAAGGCTTAACATCGAGAAGACGAAAGGTCAAAAGGATGAAATGAAGGTATGTAAGAAAAATAAAATTTATACGTACAAAACAAAAAATTCATTTGATAAACTACAATGTTCAGAAAAAAAACAACTTTCAGTTTTTCCCGAATTTTCCTTATTCGGACTATTACGAACAATTAAAAAAAAAAAAATTTGCCAAATCGATACAGCCGTTCTCAAGTGATGCGCTTACCAACGAATAACATTTAATTCAATTTATAAATACAGAGCGGTCATAAATTTTTAGAAGCCACGGGACAGGTAGTTTTGTCTGGAACAGTAATTTTATTTCCTTTGTCGTAGGAACGGAGCTCCGGTTTTGTTTGACAAGCCACGCCCCCCATTTTTCACGAGATTCTATTCAACCAATCAGCGGATAGCGTTATCTCGAGCATAGATGTAACGGTTTGTCATTGTTCATTGAAAACATATCGTTAATACGGGTGACGTAATTTCTATACGACGGTACGAACAATGTGCAATGTTGGTTGCATAAGCTCGGGGGTCGCAAGAATTGTAAAAATTTATGAAGGCTCTATACATAAAAATTATCTATTTCTATTTCCTTGGAGTATTATTTGTTCGTTTTTTAAATTTGTACTTTTTATGGCTCTGTGCGCATATTAAATATTTTTGTAGTTCAACTTCTAAATAATGAATATGCGATATTATCACTCGACTTTGTCGTTATAAAATGCACAAGTAAATTCTACAAATTATTTGTCCGTGAGTATATTTCGTAAATCCAGATAACTTTATTTGAAATCCGAAGCCCGCAGAATGATCGCGAAACCCGAAGTTTTCATGTAAAAACGACNCGACTTTGTCGTTATAAAATGCACAAGTAAATTCTACAAATTATTTGTCCGTGAGTATATTTCGTAAATCCAGATAACTTTATTTGAAATCCGAAGCCCGCAGAATGATCGCGAAACCCGAAGTTTTCATGTAAAAACGACATTGTTGGCAACTCTACGTAAAAATATTTTTGTAGATTTTCGTTCTCTACTAAGCAGAAGAAATAACAATAATTTTTTTTCTGAAACCCTCATTGTCGTGGAAAAATTTATTTTACGAATATTTCATTCAAATTTCATCGGATTTGGAAAAAAAACATGGTTCATGTAATGAAGTTCCAATTTATTAGCTTGAATGTGTGGTTAGGTTCAAAATGTACTGGCTAATTCAATATTGTATCCCGAAAACTATAAAAAAAAATTTTTTTTCGTTGAATGGGCTATCTTTTGATTTCGCCTGTTTGCCGTTTCTGATTGATGTGTTGCCCAACTCTTACCAACGTGAAGGTCGACAAACTAAAATCATTTTTCGTTTTTATGTTTTTTTTTGTAATTTTATTATTTTATTTTTATTACGATAAATCTATTTCTTCATATGTTTGATTTCATCAATCATTAGAGGATACGCTCAAATTTTTTTGGATGATTTCCTGATTTCAAAAAACGGCGAAAGTTGAAAAATGTAAAAATTTCTCAAAAAATTGTGAAAAACATATTCTTTGCATAATTTCAACAATTTTTGGTTCTATAAAATTTTTTCGAAAACCACACCATTTTCAAGAAAAAAAATCCTAAACAATTTAAAAAAAAAAAATTTGCCAAATCGATACAGCCGTTCTCAAGTGATGCGCTTACCAACGAATAACATCTAATTTAATTTACAAATACAGAACCGTCACAAATTTTTAGAAGCCACGGGACAGGTAGTTTTGTCTGGAGCAGTAATTTTATTTCCTTTGTCGTAGGAACGGAGCTCCGGTTTTATTTGACAAGCCACGCCCCCCATTTTTCACGAGATTCTATTCAACCAATCAGCGGATAGCGTTATCTCGAGCATATATGTAACGGTTTGTCATTGTTCATTGTAAACGTATCGTTAATATGCGTGACGTAATTTTTATACGAAGGTACGAACAACGTGCAATGTTGGTTGCATAAGCTCGGGGGGTCACATAAATTGTAAAAATGTATGAAGGGTGGTATATACATAAAAATTATCTATTTCTATTTACTTGGAAAGTATTAATGTTTCGTTTTCTAAATTTGTACTTTTCATGGCTATCTACACATATTTAATATTTTTGTAGTTCAACTTCTAAATAATGAATTTGCGATATTATCACTCGACTTTGTCGTTATAAAATGCACAAGTAAATTCTACAAATTATTTGTCCGTGAGTATATTTCGTAAATCCAGATAACTTTATTTGAAATCCGAAGCCCACAGAATTAATATTTTTGTAGACTTTTGTTCTCTACTAAGAAGAAACAATAATTTTGTATACATTACCTTTCGAAATTGCATCACCAAGTTCATCAAATTAGAAGTAAAATTTTTGTCCACGACATGTGAGTCGCCGCCCCCTACAGTGTAATGAAGTAAATCTTCAATTTTAATTTTCTGTTTCAATGCCAAATATAACAAATTCTGCCTAGTAGTCAGCGGGCAATACACCATAACTTCAATCTTATCGGATAATTCGTTTTCAACATCTTTCTTAATCCTCCTCAACATAAATGGCTTTAAAATCATATGAAGCCTCGATAAATGTTCTGAAATTTATACCATTACGATTTCTATTCTATCTAGAATGAAAAAAGTTGCACTTACTTTCGTCAATTCCCGTTTTATTTTCGGCATGACTCTCGATATCCTTTGAAAACCACTCGTTGAATTCCTCGTGGGAATCAAAGAGTGTTGGCATGATAAAATGTAATAAAGCCCACAATTCGGCCATACTATTCTGAATCGGGGTACCGCTCAGCAACAATCTGTTCCGACAACTAAAACCTAGCAACGTCTTCCAACGCATCGAACTAGTACTTTTTATCGCCTGAGCCTCATCTAAAATCATATACTGCCACTTGATTCTATTGAAGTATTTAATATCCGTTATTACGATTTGGTACGAGGTTATAACAATGTGGAAGCTAGCATCTTTAGTGTACATGTCCTTTTGGTCCCAGAACTGACGCAGGATTTTTCGTTCGTTTGGGTTGCCCCAGTAAGGCACGACTTTAAACCCTGGTACGAATTTCGCAATTTCTTGTTGCCAATTGTGGAGCGTTGAAGCTGGGGAAATGATCAGAAACGGGCCCCAAACAGCTGAAAATATAGAAATGAAACGTTATTTATTAATTATTTAGTTTACGAAAAGATTTCAACTTACAATATCGTTCAGCTATGTGACACAGAAATGCTATACTTTGTACAGTTTTACCCAGTCCCATCTCGTCTGCCAAAATTCCACTAATGCCTTGGGAATATAAATTAGCCAACCAATTCATCCCGCGCAACTGGTAACCTTTCAGTTTACCTCTGAACATATCCGGTTGCGGCTGCTCTCCACCTATAGAATCGAACTCGCCTAAACATGAGTTTGCTTGCTTGTCGAAGTGTTTTGTTCTAGCTTTCTCGCTTTGGAATGCGTCAAGTGCATTTTTCTTTGCTTTTTCCTTCATCGTTTCACTAAAAAAATAGTTAGTTATCACGAGACAAAAAAGAAATAAACTTCAATATAGGAAGAAATGGAGCTCACCTATCGTATGTGTCACAACTAAGTTTGGTTATGCCTTCCTCGTCCAACTGGCTTAATATCCTTAGTTGTTCCTCAGGTGAAACTTGACCCAATTTCTTCGACATAAAGTGGGCATAAAGTTCAGTCTGCGTTATTAAAAAGTTTAATTTCCTTTGTTGTCGTTTGGCTTCTACCAATTCGTGGTCGATTTTCCGTTGCTCTTCTGCTTCCTTTTCTAACCTCTTTTTGATTTCTCGGTCGAAACGTCGCGACCTTTTCCAGTATGCTATGTTTTCCCTAGCCAATCGTTTCATTCGCCACTGCTGCTCTTTCACTGTCCTAGCTGACTGCAACTACAAAAAAAAAAAAATTATGGACCAATAAATATAAACACAACAATAAAACATTTTTAAATCAGTCTGTAGGATAATGTTTATTTATACTTACAGCTTTCTGTCGTGCTGCCTTAACACAGTGTGTCGCGACTCTCTTGCACTGCAAAAGCATTTCCTTATGCCTATTCATCTTAGCGCGATGTTGCTTCCCCGTTTCTTTTTTCACGATGCTGGTGTATAGTTTGCGTCTTTTTATCGTCATCATATCTTCCCATTTCTTGCGTGATTCTTCATCTCTGAATCGCTTAGCTTTCTTCTTTGGTATATTCATGTTTAATTGTGGAGTTGAGGAAACAGAATGCATGGAAACTGGAATTGTAGTAAAGTCAGTGTTCATGTTCGTGTCTTCCATTTCTTCTATAGTTTGGAACTCTATTCCATTTTGAAGGTTTAAGTCCAAACAAGGTTCATCCTAAAAATTTTGTATATAATAACTGAAAAGTGTTTGGCTGATTAACTATTTATAATTTATTTATAACAAACAATGAATTAAAAACCAAGTGTAATTTACCGGTATATCATCCAAAATCTCTGGATGATACAAAGGTGATTTGGAAGTATCTTCTGTTTTAATAACCTTTTTCTTTATGTGTACGGGTAAATTTTTTTCTATTTCTGGGTAGTGATCTACAGCACTTATCAATCCGGCACCATAGAACATATAGTTATTGAAATTCTACAAAATCAACATGTAAAAAAAATTATAACAGTAATAAGAGTATTTTTATCACCTCCTTGGTCTTCCGCAGGTTTTTCTGGTAAGAATGCATCCTTATGATGTGCTTATATTGTACATCCTCCGGCGTACTATCTGTATTCTCTTGTAAAACATCGGATAACCATTTTCTCTTGGAAGAGACATTTTTGAAGTTGTAATATTCTTTTGGTGAATGTGGTTCAGACTCTATAGATAAAATAAATATTAGAAACTAACAAAGTACTTGTGACATCTTACCTCGAAGTATATTTTCAATGTTTGCATCATTTATATCTGGGATATCATCGTCTGAATCATCAGAGTCGCTGCTCAGCATTAGTTGGTTGTTTATATTTTTCAAAAACATGTTCAGGTTGAGCGCTCTCTCGACCCTGCGTAAATGTATTGGTTTTGAGGTGCTTGGTCTTACATCCGAGTGGTCCACGAGTAATTTGTTGTCTAAAATGAATCAAGATAATAGATAAAACGATAATCACGAGATTTAATAGGCTATTATAACTTACCTGGCAGAATTTTGTAGGTTTTATCGAAACTATTCCGCATGTTCTTTGACATTGTAATTCAATTTTAGTTTTGAACAATAACCAGCTTTATACGTAAATAGAACTGTTGACCGTTTATATAATTTTTACAATATTCATTTTTTTTAGCCTAACCTCACTCAAAATTTTTATATTTTGACAATTGACATAAAAACAACTTCAAGGTTGATCTTGCAGGAGTACGTTCCTAAAACAGAAATGTTAGTTATATTAGGGTTAAGTTCGCTATTCTCAGAGTTGTTGTGTGGTGTAGCCACAGTGTAGCGATAACATGTTAATTTTAAATGTTTTTATTAAAACTGATATGAAATTTAAAAAATGTGAAATCCCGTCAAAAGACACATATACGGGGTGTCCCTGTTTTATTTTGATATCTCAACCATTTCCAATATACAGGGTGTCAAAATTGAAAAAAATATACCACATTAATTTATTGCTATATCTCTGAGATTGATGAAACTTGAGCTAATGATATAAATAATTAAAGATAAAAATTCACTGAACTGGTATAGGGTGTCGAAATTTCATACCAATGTATTTTGTACCAAATAATATAATTAAAAAGGTAATAATTCCATTGTCAACCATTGAACAAAGGGTTTTAATCAACATGTGGCGGAGCTACTGGAAGATACTCTTTCCTAGAACCTCAGAATTTCTGTATATCAGTAGATATTTTGAAAATTTAATATTTACATAATCTTATTGCTTCTAGGAAAAAAAGTTTATTTTATTTTGTTTGAAAATTGAGCCATTTTCAAGTTTTTTTCAAGTAAAATTTTGCATTTCTACTACGAAGTTGTAAACTTAAGATAATAAATTATACAAACATAAAAATAATCTATAAAATAAAGTAGGTGGTACATACCTAATTCTATGTAAAATAAAACTGATTCAGGCTTAAGACACATTTTAATAAATTCCTTCTGTGTCTTTAATTTATCATATTATTAACTTTTTTTAAAAAATGTATTGAATTGAACTTCTATATTTTTTCCCAAATAAAAATTATATTTAACAAGTTACATACGAACCTATCTACCAATTATTAAAATTAAACCTATTTCCTTGTTTAATTATAGCAATTATGTACAACATAAACCTTTTATGAAAAATCTATGGAAAATTAAAATATATTCTCAATTTTTAGATATATGAACTCAACCAACAAATTACTACCCTGCCAAATTGAGTTTCTCTTTAGATTTTCCCTTCCTATGGACATTGGAATAACCAACTCTAGTCCTTCTACTCATCACACTTCTGCCCAGTGCCCACTCCCCAGTGCCGGAGTGCCCAGTTACTTTTTCCCGACACTACCTTCCTCCTAACATATAGTCTAGAGAAGTATAAGAGAGTGCCAGGCGAAATGGTAAGAACAATTTTATCTGATTTATTTTACATTTTTCTAAGTTAACTTTTGGAACTTGTACTAAATGCAGGACGTCATTTGTTTCCTATGCGAATAAAATTTCATGAATGCATTTCTGAAACGAATGAAAAAGTTTTGCATATTTTTTGAAATGTGTTTTTTATCTTACAATTTTCTAGACATGATTTGCCTTTAAACAGTTAAAACATTGTGTTATATATTCTTTTCATAATCAAAATTAAAACGTTATTATCAACAGAGAGGTTCTTTCACTGTAAAAAAAAATAAATAAACACGTAATTTTAAATTATTTCACGAAACTTGAATTAAATACTGGACATTATTTGTTTTTATACCAACAATATTTCAAGGTCGCATTGGTGAAACGAATAGAAAAGTTTTTTTATTGTTTTTCATATATCTTATCTTTTGTGCGAATACCTAAATCGATATGAAATTCGATTTTTGCACTAGGTACATTAATTATTTTGATTTTTTTTTCATATTCTTTGAATTCGACCAGTATTGTTAATAAAATAGAGAATTGTTACGGTTTTGCAACACAAAAAAATAGATTTAAGAAAGTACTACCTAAAATGGAACATTTTTATTTATCCCTGTAAATTACTTCTATGAGATATTGGACAACAATATAATCATTACAATTTTTTTCTTATAAAGCCTTTTAAATTTATTATTATTTTTTTAAAACCTTATTACCATTTCAAATAACTTTTAGCAATATATGCAAAGTGATTTAAGCAAGTTTAAAAATATTCAGCCATTAATTTTAGATTTACAGGGAGTTGAAATTAAAAAAATGTACCATTTTTGGCAATGGCCTGAGGCTGTATAAATTACACTCTTTTTATAAAAGTTTACGGTTAAAAAATTATTCAGTGGCGTAGATCACCTTGTAGCTTTTGTGCCAATAAAATAATTTAAATTTTATGTCGTATTCATGTTTTTTTAATATTTTAAAAAAGAAATTACCATTTGAGTTGTTATGCCGTGTTCTATTTTTCTTTTCGTGTTAGGGGTAGTCAAAAAAGCGCAACCTCTGTAAAACTAATTACCTATACCCTTACCTACTCTGAGAAACACTGTATAATTAATTATAAACTTTGAATAAAATATTTTTATTTTTGCAAATTGGTGGTGTTTCTTAAATTTAATATAACTTTGAGTGAAATGAAAGAAATTATTTAACAATTTATTTAAATAATAAATTGATAAATATACTTGATCCCAGAGTTCATGTAGAGTAGATTGTAATTAACCTATTGATGATTATTTGTAGAATGACGAAAAAGAATTACAATGTGAATCTGTATCGAAATTAGAAAAACTAATGGCAAATCAATGGGCAGATATTCATAGACCAGGCCCTATTAATACCGATAAACAAGGTAAAACCTAGACCAGATTGCTATTATAGTAGAAAACGTTTAGGATTTTCCAAAGAAATATCATTTTTAAAGTAGAAATGGGTGTTACGGCTTCGCCACAAATAAAGCCACTACCTTATTTGTTTAAAGTGTAAGTCGCAAGACAAATCGTGCAATGACAAGGTTATTTTATACCGAATTTATTAACACCGAACAATTTTCAAATAATATAATTTTTTTATATTTTAATTTGAGTTTTCACATTTTGGTGCAGTCTTAACCCCTAGAACACATGTTATTAGTAATGTAATTAATAATATAATAAAACTGTAGTTTTATATATTTAACATTGAAGATGTATTGATATAATAATGCCATTTAGATATGGGAATGAATAAACCGAGTCGTTCCGTATTAAGGATGTTTGATCCATTGCACGTAAGGTATGAAATATTAACCTTTATTATTTTTTAATCGTGTTAATAATATTTGATGTTTTTAGCCCTGAAAAAGAGGAACTAAAAGAAATTTCCAAGTCAATTGAAGAATTACCAGTATGTATAGTTCTTTAATAACGAATCAATCTAATTTATTGACATTTTACAGAAAAATTATGGAACAATAAAAACTGAGGAATGTGCCACCTCGTTAGCTTTCTTTGATGAGGTTACGGAAAAGATAGAGTAATACAGCTTTTAATTTTTAATTTTAAAAATGGATTTTGTTCGTTAATTTGTTCTCTTATAATAATAATAATTTTTTTCGATAGTATTAGTATTACATTTTTATATGTTACTACTTACTTTAAAACTATATATATGTCCATCCATACGTAGTTATAAAGTACAATGTTATTTATATTTTTATTTTATCTGAGTGACATGTTAAAAATTTATGTAATGATTGTAATGGTATAAAATGTGATCAATAGCTTACTTAATATTTATTATTTTAATTTACCTTGATACCTCTTAAAGTACAGCAAAAATTTAGTTCAATACGGCGGACCTGATAAAAACGATTGTTGCCGGATTGTATTTTTTTAAGATACATGATACTTTGCTTATTATTTAAATGGAACCTCCTGTGCAATTATAGTGATATAAGGTTTGACGGGTGCATTTTTATCAAAATTAAACATCCCGTTCATTTGAAATTAGCGCCGTTTTAACGTAATTTCTTGCTCCACCAACAGATGGCGGTGTGCATAGAAAATGAAAATTTACAGAGACCGCAACGTCCATATTAGAATTTGTTCGTAGCGTATACGTATAGATTAGTAGGTGGTTACATAATTGTTCTACACAGGCGCACAAAGTTTTAATCTCGATTCTTATCCATTTCTACAATTTTAGAAAGGGCAATAAATTAGGGCGTTTTAGTATTTTGTTGAGTGCTTGTATTGCGTAAAAGAAACGTGCAAATATTTCACTAATAATTAGAACTTACAACTTTTTTTGGAAATTCGATAGAGCATTCTTGATATATTCGGTAAACATAAGTGTTTTACGTATTTAATTCTGTGTTAATCGCCATATGTTTAAAATTTAATGGTACATTGATATTGTTTTAACACTGCCCGAATGATAGTAGATTTATAAATATACCTATCTTAAACGCTGTTTAATTAACACCAAATTTATTATATCCATGAAGGTGAGTACGTTTGGAAGGAATTGTTTGCAATTTTTTTATAATTAAACTTTTTCACAAGGTCCTTATTCTTATGCTCTACTATTGCCATTTTAAAATAAATTTATGTAGATCAATAATCAGTGTCTGAGTATGGCTAACTAGGTCACTAAAAATAAAGTAGATATGTACTTATTTTTACAGATGGGAACCAGAGTATTTGTTGGTGGACTCACTTATCGTGTTAGAGAACGCGATATTGAAAAATTCTTCCGCAAGTATGGCAGAATTAAAGAAGTCGCAATGAAAAATGGATTTGCATTTGTTGTAAGTTTAAAACATAATTTCACATACTTGAATTAATTTCATTACTACTTGAATGATTTATAGGAATTCGATGATCACAGAGACGCAGATGATGCCATCTATGAGCTAAACGGAAGAGATTTACTTGGGGAAAAGTAAGTATCGTTAACATAATATCTGATTTGGGGTAGATAAATATTTTTTTGACTTGTTACTATGATGATCAACATCTTTCGGGTCTGATTTAAAACATGACAGACTCTTTCCCAGCGTTCTGATTAATCTAATCTTCAGCTAATATATATATATATTTATTTTTTTTGTATATTTTATTTATATATTGGTTTTCAGGGTATCCGTAGAACGTGCTAGGGGTACGCCAAGAGGAAGCGACCAATGGAGGGGCAGCATGGGTGGTTCGAGAGGTTACGGAGGACCTCCACGTAACAGAGATACTCGCGAAAAGTAGGTCTTCTATTCTTAATCTGCTTTGAAGCGCTCTCATCTTTTTTCTATGATGATTCTTAAACTAATATTTGTTTAACCTATCAGATATGGTCCACCGCAAAGAACGAGGTATCGCGTCTACGTTGATAATCTGTCTAGCAGAGTCAGCTGGCAGGTAAGTTGAAAAAAAATCGACAAAACCCTGGCATGTACATGTATTTGGGTAAGAGTCCCATACCTACTATAGTTTGTTAACAAAAAACTGCCACATGGATCTAAAAAATGAATCTCCATTTCTTTTTTTTTTTTTAGGAAGGCTAAGATGTCAGTTTTGTAATCCATGTGTCACTTTTTGATTTAACATTACTATTAATCCCTGTTACTTTCAAAAACCAAAAGAGAGTTAGAGCGAGCAAGGCCAGTGATTGAATATGGGGCATTTCGTCCGATGTGTGACTTGCAGTCCATAGTTGAGGCAATCGGGGGGTACCATGAGAGAGCAACGATGTGTAACCACATTTTGAGCAATCAATGAGGCGTGGACGTACCAAGCCAGGGCTAAGACGTTTGGAAGATCCAACCAATCCCAGGCTCTGTCCGAAGATGGGTTTTTCCCGGTCATCTCCTTATCGTTCCCTAAAGTTGAGCGTTAACACTGACGAAAGCGTATGGCACTTTGCGAAATACTAAATTTAAATAGTGGAACGCCCTGTTTTGGCCTACGGGGGCCTCATCAGCGGCATCTAGAGCAGGTAACCATATGCTCAGAGAGTGCCATTAAACTAGCACGTAACCATTAACTGTCACGAATTTGGTATCGTTTTATATTGTAATTTAAGTGAATATATGAAATTAAATACTTTTTTGTAAAGAGCACCCATTTCCCACGGAGCGTGTGGTTTCTCTAGGCCTATTCTATGCTCAATCAATGTGGTACACCCTTGCAAATGAGTGGCAGTCAGTCGATTCAGTTATTACGCCAGTCCATTGATTCCATTGGTTCTATGTGGTTTCTCATTCACAATGCCTCAGGTAAATGCCCTAGCATGACGCGCAATTTTGTCAGTCTCTCGTTAATTACACTTTGTCTGATCTCTTCATTTGCTTTCACCATTAGCATGGATAAATAACATACGTTATTGATTGGAACTTTGGCAATAGCAACAGTTTTGTTTTTCCAATAGAATGCAACTAATAAATTGTACTTCATTTTTCATTTGTTATTTAAGTACAATTTTTGGTGTGCTATTTCTAAGGTCCTGATTATACAGTTCATTCTAAAGAAATAATGCAATGTCGTTAATTTCATGTCGGTCTTATACATTAACTATGTTAACATCCACTTTCTTTGGCGGACTGTAAAAAATCAATTATATTTTCTAATTTGCCGACATTTAAATTTAGGTATTATATTTTATAATTGCAGAACTGCCCTTTTAAAATTTTTTTTGTACCCAATCGTATTAAAATACCTCTCGTCGCGGACAAAGTGTAATTAAAATAAAGGAATAAGTATGTTTCAATTTAGATTTATTTACAAAACTATTTATTTTTATTTTTTAAGTTTGGAATTTGTACCTTTTGTCGCAAGTCAGGTAACTTGTTTTACAAATGTTTTTTCGTGTATAGAATATGAACTTTATTCTTTTTTTTTCCCCAATATAGGACTTGAAAGATTATATGCGCCAAGCCGGAGAAGTTACCTATGCCGATGCCCATAAACAGAGACGTAACGAAGGGTATGTTCCTTTTAAAAATATTTACATTCACAGAATTAATATACTCACATGATGATTTTACCATCTTTCGGGTCTGAAGTCGAATGACTGACACCCTTTTCATTCACTGACTACTCCGTAAAATATTATAAAATGTATCGTTTGAATAGTCGACCTTCAATTCTAAAACTGTTTGCAGAATTGTGGAGTTTGCTTCATACAAGGATATGAAGAATGTTATGGACAAGCTAGATGGCACCGAACTAAACGGCAGGAAGATAAAACTTATTGAAGATCGTCCATCACGCAAAAGTAGATCAAGATCAAGTAGCGGTAGCAGATCAAGGTCACCTCGTTCTAGGTCCGCTTCACGTTCTAGGTAAAACTACTTTTTATAAATTTTGAGAAGCGCTATATATTTATTTGACAGGTCAAGAAGCAGAGGTAGTTCCAAGTCTCGTTCAAGAAGTCCTACTTCTGGTTCTAAAACTAGGAAAGAGTCAAAATCACGGTCTAGATCACCACTTGAAAAATTGAAGGAAAAGAATGGTTCTAGAACTAAATCAAGATCTAGAACTCACTCTTCTAGAAGTCGATCTCATAGTCGGTCTCCAAATACTACTAGAGAAGACATGTAAAAATACTTACTTGGTACACATATAATTTTTTTTTTTTTTTTCTATAAATATGTACACATGATGTATTGATCATGAATGATTTATAATTTGTATGTAGTCTTCCTATTCTTAATTTCATAATATTCAATTGGTTATGTGAAGAATTTATTTTCTTTTTATTTTTTTATATATAAATATCAGACTGAAGTATGAGTTTAACTAATTCGCATCATTATAATATATACTACTTTAAAATTAATGTAGTAAAAAAAAATTAAATGGTTTGTATAAACCTTGAAAATATGATTTTCTTTTTATTACATTCTATTTCTTTTTTTTGTAAATGTTTCCTTATTTAATAAATATATTTTAATAATACTAATAACAATTTTTTGCCCGTACGAGAAACTCCAGGTGCAAAAGAACCTAGTAAAAAATACATAAGAAATATAAACATTTATTTAACAGTAACAGTTTTACAAAAAAAAATTCAATGGATTAACATTTTGAAATTGAGGAATTATTCATCTTGATTTTGGGGATATTCAGTCTTGCATATTGGAGAAGATGTAGCAGCATTGGTGCTGCTACCATCGAAAAGACTGAATTCAGAAATCGAAGGATCACTAGCGATTGAAATAGACGAAGCACAAGACTCATTGCCATTGCCGTTGACAGCTAAAAATCGAATTTTAAAATATTTTTATAATTCTAAAGTTCAAGCACTTAACTATTTGGTTTCTGATTCTTCTCTTGCTCGATCAGTTTTACAGTAGAATCGTTTAAAGACTCCAGTAAATTTATGATTTCTCGTGTCTCGCTGTTCATATTTTTCAGTTCATAAATATTTCTCCAAATTGGTGTCACATCGATCTCCTATAAATTTGTACACATTAGACGTAAAATTTAAAATATCGGTAATAAAATTAACCTGATTAAAGCATTTGATTTCATTGTTTCTAACGCCGGAGAATATATCAGATGCCAGATTTTTAAGTTCGATCAAGGACTGAACTGACTTCTTCCCAACTTTTAAGGTATTTCCAGTTTCCATGTTGCATTGAACATCCTCAGCATCAGAACGGATTCTTTGAAATGCTTCTTTGAAATATTTTGAAATATCAGTTACATCTTCTGAAAATGATACAATTTGATGTGAAGCAAAAAAAATTGAATTATTGTAAAAAATTTCTTGCACATACCTTTTAGATCAATCAGTTCTTTTGACATAGCTTCAATCTTTGCGTTTTCTGAAGCAGAAGTATTATTCTCCATTATTACGCCAACAAATTTAATTTATAACTTGATCTTTCAGTTATCAAATTCAATTCAAATACAACTGTCAATTGTCAGTTGACAACAGACTACAATATCGTGACCACTAGAGTAAGATTCGAGGGCATTTTCTGCTGCTAATTTCCACGAGGTTTTTCTTTCTTTCTCTAATTGAGAAAAGAGTGACGGGATAAAAAAAGATAGTAAAATATTTCCAAGTTATCGAATTTCCAAATAAAACAAGGTTCTAAGTCGCGAAATGTGGTAGCCACAGACTTCTAATATACTTAGAAGTCTGTGGTGGTAGCTAACAGCTAATTTGTGTTAATTTATGTAAAACATTTTCAAAACGTTTTAGTAAAATGAAAGATTACAGACATACCAATGAATATCCAGGCTTGCAAACTGTATGAATACATGTACTTGCCTTTCTTCTACGCCTGTAGTGATACCTGATACCAAACCTGTTGAATAATATGTACTTTTCGAAGAATTTCTTCACTCGCAAAAGGCTGTCGAACTAAAACGTCCGACATTTTCACGTCTGAAAAATAAGAATAAAAATATATTTTATTATTACCGAATAGCAGTTCTGGCTAGTAAAAATAGCAGCGGTTATATTTTGATAATAAAGTATGGGACTCACCGTTTTTTTTTGGAACGATTTTCATAACTCTTCTCATGAAAAAATTTCGAATGAGATTGCAAAATAAAAAGTTAAACAAATATTGAATAGGGATTGCTGCCCATGACATTTTGAAAATAGGTGCATGAATAAAATTTTGTTTTTTCCCCATAATTAACTGATAGCTAGTTTTTTTCCATTTTTTACAAAATTAAATTATCTTCGTTATACCTATTTCCTATTTAAATTTTAATTGATACTAATCTATTTTTAAGATAAATAGTAATGCTGTAAATTTATGAAAAATTAAAATCTTGAGAAAAAACGGTTATATCTATATGGGAAAAAATATTGTGCAAATACAAATTTTTTCATCATAAAAGTTTCCTGTGGACCTAGAAATCATTCCCAAAAAAATAGTATGGTTTCCACACACCATTATCAAAGAATGACCACTTTAATTTTCAAAAGCCGTCACTGCGGAATAGAAACTAATAATTTAATTAGTGTTTACACTGCTTCATGTAATCTTATCACAGATTAGATATATCCTATGGCGATCTATTTTTAAAAAATGGGGACGTTTTTGCATTTTCATGTATGATTAATACTCAAGGAAATAATAAGCAGTTTTTTTATTAAAATGTTTTAATATTGTTAAATACATACACAACATCAATGATAAAATACATATTTAGATATAAAAAAATATGAAATAAGATATGTATTTTGGATATGAAAAAAGTATGGGGTGTTTTTAGAGGATAAGGACTATACAATACCGATTACAAATATTTAAAAAAATATATAAAAAATTACGTACAAGCTACATAAAATAACTCGGTAATTGTGATAACATGCATATTTTTAATATACAGTAAATGTCAGGTACCATAAACTAACAAAATACAAAATTTGAGCGTTCATAGTGGAATTCCTTATAACGATTAATCAATTACTTTGTATAATTGGTAATATATAAAATACAATTATATTCAATATACCACTGTTTAGTAAAATATCTTAGTTATTCCTAAGTTTTGGCACATACAATGGACTGAGTGGGATAACCCCACAAATTTTTACAAATTGCCAATTATTATTTTACACGTCAAATGGCAAGTAATTGATTTGGACAAGTTTTATTAGCACCTTAAAATTAAAACCCACGTTTAGAATTTCCAAGTAGAAAAAGCACGTCAGACTAACTAAAACCATTTATTCATAAATCGTCATCGCCAATACCCTCAAATGCATGATTTTCGATGAATTCTCTTCCACTTTTGAAAGAAACGCTGGAAAATTTTTCTTGCAACTTCTTTATTGAAAACGATTCCTGATATTTAGGATCTGATGAATCCTCCTACACACATATCACACAGAATTAGTGGAAATTATCTAATGCAATATACAAATCTAACCTTATTCTCTCCATCTGCATCGTCTACCGAGATCAGGTGACTTGACCCATCTCTTTTCATGTACGACCAACTACCTTTTGTAACAGAACACGGTTTTTTCCTGATCCCATTCTTCTTCATCAGAAGCTCGTCAACTAGAGATTGTAAGGACACCGACATTAATATAGCTTGGTCGCTTGATATAGTGATCCACTGCAATTTGTCTTTCGACATCAGGTACTCGAATGACAGCTCTAAACCTGAACTGAAACTCGATCCACTGTTGGCTGCCACTTCCTCTTTGTTCTACATGAAAAAGATGTATTAGAGAGTAAATAATTAAAGTTTCGACGGCTTACGTGTGTGGCAGTGATGCGCCAACACCTCATTCTTGTTACTTTGAAACAACCTTCTCTGGATAACTGTCCCGGTCCAAGAATCCTCATGCTAAGTTCTTGGTCGCCTATTGCTATGACAACTTTAGTTTGAGCCTTGGGGTAATCACAATAACAGGGCAAAAATTGTATGAAACCGTAATATTTTAGTTTTTGAGCCGTTTCTATGTATTCACGTTTCGCTAGATTAGTTTGCAGACTTGCCAATTGTGATTTCATCTCTCTAGTGGCTATTATCCAGCCTTTTTCGATTTCTGTTACTGCCTGAATGTACAAGAGGTTTAGGGATACCGGGTCCGTCATTAATTCAAAGTCATAGTTTGTATCCCAGTAACTAAAAATGTTTAAGTGCCAGAGTATTGACGTACTATTTAATAAATGGCATTAAATAGAAACTACAAAATAACTCACCTTTTCCGGATGACTATTTTGTTAGCATCTCTCATCGTTTTATTGGATAAATAAGGACATTCAAAATCAAGTAGTTTACGTAATATAATAATATCTCCGCTATTGTCTTTTTTGATCAGGTATAAGGAAAAATACTGCATATATTCTAATGGCAAGCTCATGTACTTGAATACTTTTGTCAACACTTGTTCTGTGCCGTCAAACGTTGATACACGTACGGGGATGTGATAGTTGTTCATAGTGTATAAATCTAGGTTCACGTCTTGCTTTTTCTCGCACGTTGTTTCTTGCTGCGCCGATAGTAAAAAACCTATTATTAGTTCGGAAGACACTAGTTTGGAATCTTGGCCAACTACAAAAGAAATACTGTTTTCAATATCACTGACTCACCTGACCACTTTTATTACACTGAAAACTGGAAAAACTTACTTTGAACGAAAATTTAAATAAAAAAAACGACTAATTAAGCAATAAAAAATTTCTCACTAGTTTGGATATATTTTTCTAGTAAAACTCTTCGTTCTTCTAGTTGTGAAACAGTCAAAGGAAGCAATTTTTTGGGAGGAAAATAAGGTATTGCTTCATTACCAAATTCTCTCTTCAACTGCTCATTTAAGTTATGTAGTTGCTTATACCTAACAGTACAGTGAAAAAGACCGTTTATATGAATGTTATAACCCTAAAAAAATATTTTTTTTGCATATTTTATATGGAAATGTGATGTAAACTTACAATGAATGTTGACCCATTTCCTTCGTTTAATTCCTGAGTATCGGGAATTGAAAAATGCATTTTCGTAAAATTCAAAGTAAATTAAATAAACACATTAAAATTACGGGCTGAACATAACAAACGAATAATAAAAAAAATTGTTAAAAACCATCACAACCAGAACAATCGTTTACTGCCATTCTCCCATTACTGATTGTTAATTCGGGCAACTGACAAATGTCAATCGAGAGCAGGTAGTACAGTTAACTGTAAAAATGGAAACTAAAAAAACGCAAATCCCAACCCAAGGTCCATCTGGGAAAGGTCGACTCATTAGTACATGGTTGGCTCATATGATTATCACGCGTGATGTCAGCAAGATATTTCGTTATTTCAATGCAACCTATGCGAAAATCTGACCAGAACTAAATACCTTGACACGTAAAGCTGAGTAATCCCCAATTCTCCAATAGTCGCAAGTATTTGGGGTTGTGATATTGAAGAAAGGCGATCTATATGTATTTATAATTTCTGAACAGTTATACACTATAATTAATTTTGAATAAACAATAATATGTTGAGATAATTAAATATTTTATTTAAAATTAATGATAGTAAGGTGTATGGCATATGAGATCGTTGAATGCATTGTGGTCATGCTCTGATTATAAAATAAAATAATTATATTACGTTACTATTTAATTTTTGATACATTTTAATCGTATATAAAAGGGAGATACCTACTTTGTTTAACCCATTTCAGAGCGAATATCTGCCCGTACATTTTCGATTATCATCTTCTAGATTTTCTTTAATTCAACAATATTCTCCTGACTTACCTGCTTGTGTACAGCGTATTCTTTTGTGCGTTTACGTTATTAAGGGAATAAATAAATAAAACACCACAATTTGTGATGCTCGCCAATTTAATATAATTTATTTAGTTAACAATAAGTATAGGTACATAGAAATATATTACATATAAAATAATTTTGACTACGGGTTGATAATTGAACATTCCATACAGTGATATATTGTCAGTAAATTTCATATACATCACAGAGACATGTATGTGTGCTTAAGGGTAAAGTACAGAAAGATATGTGATAGGTATGATTAGATTTACCTATATAAGATTTAGCATGCGAATAGTGGAAATATTTATGAAAATACATGAATATTAGATAATGCCTCTATCATTACTTTTATCTAGATTACTTACACCAGCCAATATTGGGCCCTATCAATTTGGCTTATGTAAATACATTTTAGTTATTAAATGAAATTGACGAAGTTTTATTGTCATTGACAAACACTGCATTCCAGACCAGCATTGGGGATTTTGGAATAACACATGAAGAAGGTGAACATTTATTTCACACAGTACATTACAGCGTGTTACATCAATACATTTATGTGTGTACAACATTTGTGTAAACATGTGTGGACAAAAAAATGACACTTACATTACCTCCAGATACATTTGCATTTTTCTCTAGCCTTTCGATTGTCTCGATGGCCAATAGCCATTATAATGCATTGTAGCGCGCGAAATTTGAAATTTTAAAAACACACTAGATGTTGTTTACCAAGATAATTGGTTTAGATTTTTTTTTGTTTTCGTGTATTTGAGCAATGTTAAAATTTAGTTAAAATTTTGATCGAGACTGATTGGAGTTTTCGATAATAATAAAATTAGGGTTCTTTGACCAAATCCTTTGGAAAATAAACGGTTTTACCCTTCATTCGATTCAGACCGTACGCCTTTTGGACAAATGAGGAATTGTGCAAGAAATAGTTTCGGAACTTGTACATTGTGAAGGGAATTGTGTGGGCGTTAAACCAGGGTGGATAAGAGAGATAGAGACTGCGAGACAGAAATGTATGCCGTCGTCGATTCATGTGGTGTATGTATGTGTAAAAAAAATATATTTTCTCAGTGGATTACTAGCTGTAGCTGTACTTAACGCTGTAATTCTGCATGTTTAGCCGCTTCTACCCATGGCTGGATCCTTCGTAAAGTGGTTTTGTGTTTGGAACAGAACGCGTGTCAGAATAAAATTTAGAAGGTATAAGAGCAAATCGTTGACATTATTGTCGGATCATCACATCAATTAATTTATACCATTCCAAGATTAGGATAATATTTTGTCTAAAAAATATAATTAATTAGGTATATATATTAATTTGTATTATTTACACTTCTTGTACTATATATTTGTAACTCTCGACTAGGTTAAGTGTTAAGTTCCAATTGTGATAAATAAATATAAAACATTCGACGAAGTGCGGATTGTTGACTTTCTAAACCTTTAGGCATACTTTACTATGTAGGAAGACTCGGTTTTTACATTAATATTATAGTTCTAAATATTTCGATTGCGCCATACCTACTTTATATTTATAATTAAGTACGTTTACATGATTTATATATACTTTATTTCAAACAATTCATCCGGGAAGACCTTTCATTGTAGAGAAAACCATTGTTCATCCCATTTCCATATTTATTCCTGTCTGCACCACCTTATACGAGTATGTACAAGCCAATGACACCTGAACTGGTACACTTTTGTAAAACTACAGCAATGGCATTTTTTTAACTGTTATATCCTTTGAGGTCATATAAAATTGATTGGTAGTGAAAATGGACTATGCAAAGTGTACCAGATCAAACGAGTGATAGTGTTTCATGTCACATCATTCTTGCCCATCGGTACGTGTAGGGAACCAGCAAAATCCAGCCCATTCTGATGGCAGAAAACATTGGTTTACTCTACACGGCAACGTCTTTTTCTTTATCCTACATCACCATCCACATATGTATACGTACAAAATTTTGGTCCGTTACAGATCCTAAGATATGTATACATAAGTGATATTCTTTTTGTGCACGATATGTGTCTAGGTGCGTACAATCATAGATGCAGAACTTAAATTTATATTATACATACGAATTAAGCTACACTTAAGAAAGAAGCTTGCTGCTTTAGATTTTCCATCTTCGTCGTGGTTCCAAAACCGGACTTGTGCATTTCGAATGTCGTTTCGATCACTGTAGGTTATCAGTACTCAGTCAATGAAAACAGACGTTGGAGTTTAAAAAAACACGGTTTGTTCCTTGATCTTGTTGAGTGTATCGAACTGATTCATCACTTTTGACACGGAATTAGAAATTTTTAGTTTGAGTTAGAAAGAAGGTGGAAATACAAGTGGGGCCTTGTAAGAGCAAAGCATTACCTACACTCAACCTATTGATTTTTCACGAGTAAAACCGCTATGTCTTGGAAATCCAAGTATATAAATGTTTCACGTCTTTGTAATTCTAAGTTTTATACTAAAATAGATTTTCTCGCTAGAGTTGTTGAATATTCTGACGAACTCATCTGATATTATCTAAACTAAATCGAAATAAAATTATCGTCGTAAAAATACTGTCGAGATGAAAAATCTAAGGCGATATTATTTTACTCAATGCTTATTAAAATCTAAAAATAGGACACAAATTGACAAATAACATATACCTTTGATGCATCACGTCACTATAACAATCCAATTGATCTTTTTTCCTAACACCCTTTCCAGTTCTACAAATAACGTCACTAATGCATACACAAAGTATATTGTTACCCTTCTAAAAGTGCATCCAACTATAGACCAGACTTTAGAATTGCATTTTTCAGTCACCAGTTATAACTAGATATAGATACAGTTATAGTACAATTAACAGAGTGTTCTTTGGGATATATATATATATATAGTATAGTATAGTAGAGTTCTAAAAAGCACAGAGGGAGTGTTTGTTTGTAGGAAACATCTAATAAGTGCGGAAGGTGGACATAACAACACCTAACTATTCTCTACTATATTTCGGCGTCATCTTCTATAGTATGTAACCATTGTAACCATTCTGTAAAAAAGTTCTTTCCTTAATTAAGCTGTAGGTTGAAAAATGAGAAAACTCGTGGAGGAGGGGACATTTTTATTACTTCATGTTTCTAAGGGGAAGGGCACGCCTAAAAAATCGTTTCTAGAGTGCTCCAGATCACTTACATTAAACGAAGAGGCATCAAAAAGTGTAGGAGCGTGTGTCCTGGTTCGTATCCCGCTTCTCGTATAAGAATAGTCCGGAACAAACCTGGCTATTCCGGGGTTTTGTCCCTGAGGACGCGCAGCTGGGGCCAATAAGTCTGGAAATGATATGACTCCCCCACCTCCGTTGCTGCTACCTCCGTTACCCATATAACTGCTTCCCATGTCGTCTTCTTCGGAATCAAAGTCGTAATGCTCGTAGATGCTAGAAGAGCAGTAATTTAATACTATTACCTGCCGTTATGTCGGGTAGGATCCACTCATAAGCAGTTTTATAATACTCGTAATGTTCGCTTCTGCCCCAACGAGATAAAGACTTATTGCCCTTGCGGTTAATTTCTCTCTACTCCAAATTAAATTATAACGAAACCGCTAATATAAGTCCCTAAACTTCATTACACGTAAAACAATTCAAAAAGAAAGACAGAACGAAAGAAATGGAATGGAATTACAAAGAAATAGAATATACAGGGTGTTTCACGACGAACCCTATATACTATATGGTATATGGCAGAAAGGGACTACTTGAAAAAAAAGTCCTGAATCAAAATTTCTGGATGTATAGGGTGGTAGATGAATTTGCTAAAATAGTATTGAAAAGCTGGTTAAAAATATTACTAGAATTCAAAAAGTTTGGGAAAGTATGACCAAAAAATTAAATGCACGGTTTTCGTTAGTTGTTTATGTACTTTCAACTTACTAGACGAAATAGCAGAAAATGAACTTTCTGAAGGTATGTCAAATAATGGGAATTTTCCAATACCGTCCTGGAATTTGTAATACTGATTTCTAGGGTCTATTGGCCTTCAGTGGCACCAAAAATAAATGATCCATAAATGGTTCCAAAAGCTATAAAGCGAATACTGAAATAAAAATCAGTGAACTTTCATGGATCACCCCGTATATCTCAAATTTTTACTGTTCTAAGTAGTCGCTCCGTATATACCAGTGTAGGTTGCTTCAATCTTCCTTTCGAGTAGGTACTTACAGTTCGTCATAAAACGCGTTCTATTTGCAAATAATGAAGAACATAAAGAAAAAAGAACCATTGAAAGCGAAAACCAAGAATGAAACCATGCAGAGATAATTATCTAGGAAAGTCTATCTAAGACGGAGATTATATCATTGCCGAGCATCAATAAAATTTTCGCCAACCTTCTCAAAAGTTTATTATAAAGCGCCTGTTATGTAATACTGTTACGTTAGCAGATGTCAATACCTTAATTGGTTTGATTAGATAATGAAATTACAAGAAGTTGCGCTAAGAAAATGATCCAGATTTTCCAGACGTTGAAAGTTTGGTTCCAATAAATATCCGTATGTTTGAATTAAATATAATGTTATGAATATTTGTTATAGAAAAATTATATTTGTGTTTACAAGCGGAGGAAAGGATATCCTAATCCTAATGTATTTTTAAGTGTACGGCGGGGCAAAATACCGCTGATGAAGTATGAACGCCATAGTTTATAATAAAACCGCCGTCTCTGGAATTAATGCCGGCCGCATCACTGGCGGCATCTCTCCGAAATTACAATAAATTTCCTTCTTTCTGTTTATTAATTCCCGCAGATTAGCCTTATTCGCGGCGGTGCTATAAACGTTGTGTTAAAATATTTTGGAGAGATAAGAAAGGAAAGTTTCAAATTAAAGCGACTGCCGAAAACAGTTTCAGGATTTAGACAGACTGCTTGGCAATAAGACACGCCTGAAAAAATTGAGGCATTACGTTTGTTTCAGTTAGCCAGAAAGCTGGCGCTAATTCCATTTCTAATTAGAGTCATTAATTATTTGAACAAATTCTGGACAGTTCGCGTCGGCAGATAAATTTACGTTTTGCTTAGCTCGTTGCATACGTAAGTTTTTTATTTCTCAATCTCAAGATGGTTTACCTTGCAAAAATGTACTTTAATATTATGGTTCTTCATTTTACCAAAAAAACTGTCACTGTATAAAATTTAGTAGATTTACAATAGAAAGTATACTTAGTGAAAATATTTACTGAAAATGTGTTTTTATTTAAAATTCTTTATTTTGACATAGTTTTTGTTTGTAATTTTTACATTTTTAAATATTTACAAAAGTAAAAAAAATTAACAACAATGCGACGTGAAAACATTTTAAATACAATTTGTTGGTGAAGTGTGACACAAATTGTATTATAGTCGTATTTTCTATATACAGTCAAAAGCGCTACTATTGTGTAATTTTTTAATATAATTTTTTTCGCGTAGTCGTTTTTCCTCTACAAACATTTTTTTTTTACTTAGTCCCTCTCCAAAAGTTTTATATAATATTTCCCTGCTCATTTCATACACACTTATTTGTTTTGGTGCTGTGCAAACACTTTCTGAATTTAATAATAATATTAAAAAAAACACTTTTGTAGGGGACCGTATAGATTTCTTTTTTAATAGCGTTTCATTTCAAATGAGGATGTTTTTTTTCGCTTTTCTTCCAGAACGCTCTGATAAAGCACTGAAATTATTCCTCCCGGCTTTATTAAAATTTTGATTGATATTTTGATACTTTTCCAATTCAATTCATCGAAACATAAAATATTTTACGTCGTCGGAGATGCGAAAATCCTCTAATTATTTTCAGTGCTTAAATTCACTGAATATGTCACGGTTAGAAGAAAGTGTCGATACACATATATACCGATATCAATAGCCCTTGAACAAATTTGGAATGCTTTTATGTTATTTAGTGAATCTGAAATATTTTCATTTATGTGCAAAACTGCCGCGTATCCAGTTTACATATTTATATTTCCTGTAAAAATCCATTTATTTTAAGTAAAAAATCAATTAACTTGTGAAATGCCGATTTTGTTAAATCTGCTTAATTAGAAATTCTGAACGCTAACAACGCTTGACACTAATAATGATTTTGCCGCAAGTTTTGACTGAATAAATACTTATAAAAACAAGCGCGGATTTGTTTAGAAGCTCTTCAAATACCGACGGCTTTGAATATTAATTTTATTTTTACCCTTTCGAACCGCAAATATTTTAAAGTAGTCTAAGGTTGAATTTTTATACACAAAAGTTTTAATTATCCGCATTCGACGCGAAAATAACTAAATTACTCCATATACAGGGCGATTTAAGCACACTGCTCGCTACTACATTATTTTTTTTTATTTGTTTAAACAAAAATTATTTCAATAATTGTAATAATTATAACTAAATACATTTATATTGAGAGTGTCGAAATATATACGTAAACCAATTTTTTCATTGAAAAAATGCTGTAGCATAGGATAAAAGTATATTTAATACATAAGTGATAAACTTTGTTCATAACAAAGTGTATGCAAATTAGAAAGTTGGCATTACGATATTCGAATTCCTTGACTCGCGAAACGGATTAAAAAAAAAGTCGCGATAATGCAATTTTTTTCGTACATTCGCATTTTGAACCTCCGAATTCAATCTCGGAGCGAAAACCCCCTCCCCCACGTTTCGTGTTTTGAGTCACTTTTCGCGCGTGTGAGCGACAGCTTTTCCGTCTATGTTGCCGATAACTTATGGATATGAAAATTTTTTCCAGGTTAGAACTCGAAAAAACGAAGCCATTGGATCAAAGATCATTGCTAAATTGTTTATAAATTAACGGTAAATGCCGACAAACTTTGAGAACCAATAAACGGAAATTAACTTTTTTTTTTTAAAGAAGTTCCGAGTACTTTAAAATTATAATTTTTGAAAAAAACTAAATTGCAAATTCATAAATGTTATTTAACTGTTTAAAAATAAAAAAGAGTGTTTACTGTGGCCGTCCTAACAACCAATTTTTCAAAAACCAGAGGTCCTTTCTATGTGAAAAAATTTTCAAGTATCTAGATGCTTTATTTGAGGCTGTGCAACATTTTGAAAATTCTAACATTTTTTTCAAAAAATTATTTTGCGAAAACTTTCGAACCGATTTAATGAAATTTGGTGTGTTTTATTATACTCTAAAGTTTTTCTAACCAAAGTAGGATGCCCTCGGAGCAATTAAAATATTTTTAAAAAATTATCCAAAAAACTTAATTGTTTTGCCTTTATTTCATCAATTATTGCTATTTTGCAACATCGGTAATAAATTTAAACATTTTTGACTATATTGAGCAAAATTCTTCAATATTCTTCCAAAATGCATAGGTTCCAAGATATAAGTAAAAAACTCGGATAAAATAGGTAATTTTTAAAAATTTTTAAACATTTTAGAAATTTTACACACTTTTATTATGTGAGTTGTACTGAAGGTAATCCCGCAAAAATTAGCTTGCACCCTCTTACAGCCAAGATGTGGGATATTTCGACAGATCCGCCCTGGTCTAATTTGAAATCAACGCATATTTGAATTTTTTAGGTTCAAATGGGGTCAAACCGAAAAAGGAAAAGTCCGGCTACCAAATTTTTAAACCTATTTCAATTTCATGTAGTTAAACTGTTGGAAAATCCATCATTGTTAGTCGCGAGCCGCGGCATACTATGTTAAAGTTTATTCGAAAAATCCGATAGAATTAAGCGACCGACATAAATCTAGTGCAGTGTATAGGTATTCCTAGGCAAGCGTTGTGAAATTTTTGGTGTACACAGCACTCGAACCTTGTGGAAGGAATTTAAAATTTACGATAGAGAACGGAGTGTCACTTGTTGCCTGAATGAGAGGAAGTGTTCAATATTAAAGTCTGTAACTTGCTAGAGATGGGTGCGGGCTATCTAGATTCCCAGTGACGTAGCCGCCAACTTTTATATAACGCGAACTTTCATTAACATACCGTAAAAACACATATTTTATGTGTCTGCTGCCTAGCCGTCAAGATACCGCCCTCAATAGCCCGAATAACGTGAATGTAGACTTACTGATAGAACGTTACCATTTCGTCTAATTAATGCCTTTTTCTAAAGCTCAAACTTCCAATATGATGAATGGGGTTCGTAAAACCGGAATAAATTTACCGTAACCGTTATATTATAAAAACACGACCGGAATATGAACTCGCCCTTTAAAATTTCAGGTTGTAGGATATGAATAAAAATTAATATTTTCATCTACTTTGTATATATACAGTCCTCAGTCGCGGCGAAGCTTTGGCAACTATAAGAACCGAAATCAACAGAGGGGCGGGCCGTGAGTTCTGTTAGTGGGCCCGCCACCACAGAACCTAGCCCGAGAACAACAGGGGCAGGTACAGATTCCTAGCTAAGGCTAAGGTACTTTAAATATAGATCCAACATCATAAATCTGGAAAGTGTGTTCAATTATTTACTTAATAAATTAATGATAAAACAATGACATATATTTCGCTGGATTCGTAATTAAAAATTATGATGCAGCCGAAGTATACGAGGGTACTCAAAAATAGGTACTGATGATGTTTATTTCCGGTCAAATCGGAAATTCGAACAAATGAATGACTGTCACCGAAATGATTCTGCAAAAAGTACAGGATGTTTTTATCTCAAAAAACTTGTTTTTCGGCTATACCTTTTTTAAATTGATGTCCAATTTTCTTTCACGTATGATTATGGGTCACCATGTATATATAAAACATTTTCACGTATGATTATGGGTCACCATGTAGATATAAAACATTTGTAATAAAAAATTATCCAATTTTAACACCAAAAAAACTTCGTTAAAAATCTGTCAATAAATAAAAAAGTCACGCGGATCACCACCAAACAGAACGCCCCGTACGTATGTACAGGGCGTGTATGTTCCCTAATGTTATGTTTTTGTTTGCTCCGTGTTGGTATATTTTCGTGAAACACGATGGAGCAATACCTCCGGTGTATTATAGAACCTGCGGTCTCTGTGGAATTTGTATCGATTTTCCACGGCTTTATTAAATTCTATAAAGCTTTAATGCGAATAATTTAAATGCAATATTTATGACTTAAAATCCAATAGCTAAAAGCCCGCTAAACTCGTTTCAAACTAATCCACGTATTTTTTATAATTAACATTTTCAGGGTGATTTATGTCACTTTTGGGAACGAAAATTGTTTGCAAATAATTTTAAGTCTTTAATAAAACCTGTGCATTTTCAAATAGTGTAAAAAGTTTAGTGTCGTACAATTTATTAAAATAATTCCAAACTAGTGTATCGCTAAAACGATAAATATGTCGCGTATAAAGCAACGGAATATTGAACTGAACCCTGAAATCGATGGGACGCGTTCTATGTGGGCTATGTGTCGGGTTAAATGATGATTACGCGTTCATTCATTTTTGGCAGATCTACATTTCGGGCATAAAAATAGATCTAAAATAAGAAACAAGGTCAGGGGGATACTTTTCAGTTTATATGGCGGAGTAAGCACAGAGGAGGAAGAAAGCAAAAATATCACGTTAAAAAGGCGGTGGAAATACTTATTTTGGTATACTGAACGCTGCAAAAAACACTTGAATGGAGAACGAACGAGGCAAAGGCCAAGGAAAAGTTAAATTTTAAGATATGTATTCCTTCGATAAGGAATTGCCGATTTTCCTGAACGACGTTATCTAAAGTTTCTCTTCCTTCAGTGCCTCGTTGTTCTGAAGCGGAAACGGTGAGAGAACAGATTAGTTGCAGTTTTTCTTTTATGAATTGCAAGCAGAGGCTTCACCGTTCGGAAAAACACGGGAAAAAAAAATTACCGCGCTGTTAACTCGTTTCGCCTAACGTTTTTTTTAAAAGAATTCCCACATTCTCGACGGGTATTTTGTCCCCATTAAATAATACTAACGAGCTGCCTATGAATGAAAGAAACATCAAAGTAACACATGCAAATGTTTTACGGAATGATTCAGTCTTAAAAATTTTTCCTTGCGTAAACAACTGCCATTTTTTGTGCTTCTTTCTGTTTATTTTTACGTTTCGACTTGTGCTCCAGTGGCGGGTAACAACAACAATTTACGGATTTAAAAGATTATATTATATCAAAAGCTAAGAGGTTTCCGAAAAAAATTATTAAACAAACGATGACGAAATTTTGTATTTTAAACCCATTTAGACATTTTTAAAATAAAAAGAGTATATTTTAATGGGATAGATATATTCTGACAAACGAAGTCGATAGAAATGGCAGAAAAAACATTTTTTAATAATTACTGTTCGAATAATTGCAGTAGCCATGAGTTGGTGAACATATTATTGATCTACGGCGAATGCAGACGCAGCGCCGGGGCCGCAAAACGAATTTACGCGATTCGTTTTTAACTTACAATTAGTTAAACCTTTTGTTAAGTACCCATTTATTCTCCTCTTTTTCCTTTTTTTTATTAATAACACTCCTGTTTAAAAAAAAACGGAATCATCGCTGCGCGCAACCACGGTCCGCTGTGAAAGAAGCGTAAAAGGCGTTTTAATTCGAGCGGGTATAATAATGCTAATGGCGCGAGATTTTAATTGGAGCCGGAACCTAGCTTGGGCGTTAGGATAAAGCCCTTAAAGTCGGCGGAATTTGGTAATTCTTTTTCTACCTGTTCCTTCGCCCCCGCGGCTTACGGCGACGGCGTTTCGCCGATGCTCCGCATAAAAAGACGACATAATTAAATAGCGTTCTTATGGAAAACGTCGACATAATTTCGGAAAGTAATCCTATTAAAAGAACTTACCCGGCCTGGTTCCTGTGATTCTCGTTTCTTGACAAATCTTTGAGGGCCGCCGCCCTAGCTGCTGCCTCCTCTGCCACTCTTTGTTGTTGAAGTTCGCGCGCCCGCTCGGTCTTAATTAGCTCCTGAAATTCGCTGTTTTAGACCAACTTTACTGGAATGCCACACCATGAGCGCCGGCCCACGATGCTGCCTCTACCATCATCCGACCGCACAGATCGTTACACTCTGTCTAGAGAAAATATCGCCCTTTTCGAAAAAAACAAGCGGCGTATCGCATTACCACCGCTAGGGGTCAATATCTCAACCAGGGTAGTTCAACGCGATACATCATACCAGAAAGCTAATCGAAACTATGGTAAATTTAAACATAATTTTTAATTTAGCTAAATTTGCGTTATATCGACCCACGAAAACAGAAAAACATGTTATTGTTTGCAAAGCCGCGTGATCGAGAAGTGGAAAAAATGAAAATATTTGCCAACGTCGGGAGCAAACAGCTAGTGAATATATTGCAATCGTCTCAGAAGTGTGACAATCGCTGGGAAAAAACTGAACTGCCGTCATCTTACTTTAACTAATAACGAACCCTCGCGAAATGCCAGTAAGAATTCCGTTTAAAAAATCGCTTAATGTAGCGGAAGAAATTGTTTAAAGCAGTGACGGGGGGATGCTACTTAACTATAAATATTTTATGATAAATCGATGCCGGCTAAGCTATTTTTTATCAAAATATTCTGGATCAATAAAACGTGCTTTCGCCTAAATGTCCGTAGCCTCCACCGTATCCCATTTTACGTCGATTTTAAGGGTATTTACAGTCCTTACTGTTGGGAGCGAAGTGCCATTAGCCAAATACCGTTAATGCCGACTAAATTTTCAAAACTTACGTAAATTATAACGAAACGCTGTTGAAATTTACGCATAAACTCGAGGAAAGGAAATATGTAGTGACCATCACTTTTTAAGAGGTCAACTAGAATGCTTATTTTTAACAACGGAAGTGCCATTCATCAAATACGAACCATTAATGCAAATAAACGTTTCGAAACTGAAATAAAATCTGAGGAACACCGTGGAAATTTACTCTGAGACAAAACTGAAATTAAATATGTCCGCTGAAGAGGTACAATATGAAGAAACGTTGCCGAAATTAACTCAAGGTAAAGTAGAGCAAAATATTTCTGTAAATCAACGGCAACAAGTCGCTTGGCAGTGCAGTGCAGCAATGCGGAATTCAAGTAATTTTAATTTATTGTAGACACCTTATATTAATCATTCATATTACAATTGCGAAAGGGAGAAATAAGAGGGATATTTGGTTTACTAATATTATCACAACATGGCATTTTGGAGACCTTTTGAAACGGGACAAAACGAAATTTACCACCAATATAATAAAATTGTTTGAGGACATAAATAATTAAAATATGTTGTTGGCCAAATGGACATATAATAGAAATTATTATAATTTTTTACCTTTAGCAGAAAACTTTTTTAGCCTATGAAACTCGTTAAATTTTATTGCCATGCGTTTTTTTTACATTTTCAACCGACTTCGGAAAGACTATACATACAATTTCTGAAAGTGAAGTATAATATAAAGAAACGTTGAAATTAAGTACATTTTACATCGATTGTAGGTTATTTTTAAAAGCAAAATGCCATTAAGTTAATACCAACCATTCACGCAATTAAAACTTTCGCAGCTGAAGTAAAATGAGAGAAAACATTGCGGAAATCTGCTCGTAAGGCAGGAAGAAGAGCACTTAGTCCGAATTTTTACAAGCAGTGTTATTAACAGAATACAATGTTCGAAACTGGGGTAAAATATAAAGGAACTTCGTTGAAATTAACTTATAATCAACCAGGACAAATTATGTCTATACTGAAAACGAAGAAGAAATCTTTGTCGAAATCAACGTCAATAAGACACTACAAATGAACATTTCTTAAATCCGGAATACTAGGAAAGCAATAATAATCCACTATTGAATAAAATTGCAATCGAACTGGTGCGCTGAAGCGATAGAGGATAGTGACAAACTAGTTGCTTCGAGAAGGGCCAGAGTAACGAATATTTTTAAAGTCGTTAACGTTCGAGCTAGTGTTGCAAAACAATGCGAATTCCTGGCTTGTCCAGTGCATTCCGATATTGAATAAAACACATTTGTCTAATTGATCATTGAGGGTAGATAGAGAGAGGCGGCATCGTGCTTGTGGGTTATTATTCGCTCAAAACTTCTGAAACTATTTCTATAAGTGGTTGCCGACGCCTACACACATCGAAATAACTTAGGGGAATAACGCCAACGTCTATTATAGGAAGTAAACGATTTGTTAGAACCTCTATTAAACGATTCTCTCAAACGCTGAAAGACAGAATTAAATATAACCCTCGTCAATTAGGCGGGTAGATTTTCAAAGCAAAGTAGAAGCAATCTTTATAACAATTTCCCTTAATTATTATTATTTTTTTAGTGACACAGTTTTGGATTAGTAAAACTAGTGATTTTTTATAAATGGATACAATATAATTCTTTTGAAGAGATTGTTTACTTCGAGAAAAACGGCTGTAGCTTATGTAAGTCCCCTATATTTCATCGATGTGTGCAGCTGCTTATTTTATTCAAAGTATTTGTGCACCATCGATCATTATATAAGCTTCGAATAAGCTGTATTAGACACCACAAGCATCCTTCACTTCGATTGGATAGCAAAACATTTAAACTCCCACTAGATTTGCTGACGTAAATAGAATATTATGGCAATTACCACCGAAGAATTTTTTAATTTACGTCTTTACTCAATTCCCTCCAACACTTTTTCGCGACGAATGTGCGTAGGATCACGTTATCTTAGAATTATATGGTCCTGATGCTTTGTTAAAATACTTTCCGGAATTTGTATTCGAAACATTATTAAAATTCTATTGGCTTGCCTTTGATGACCTAATGAGGGTTTTAGAAGGGATACCAACCTTAAGATGTTGGAAACTTCCCTGTTGGGGCGGGATACCGAGTGTCGGAAGATGTCCACCCCCGGGCAATCGGAATGTAGTCAGTCTTCTTCTAGGCTCGTTTTGTCTGGGCATGCCGTACAGTCTGGCGACTTCCTCGAATGCCTTGTGCCTTTCTGCGGGGTCCTGTATACGCAGATAAGGAGGGTTGTGTACTACCCGTCCGTATATCGGCTTGCTCCGATATCTGCCCATCCGCATCCTGGAACAAAGTGGAATTACGTGGGTAAAATAATAATAAAGCGCCCCCTCCACGCTTAAACGTTTAATTACAGGATTTTATTCTGGAACGATACAAAATCTAGTCGATCGGAATTGTATCGCGTTATTCGCGAAACGTTCCAAAATTTATGTCGCGCCGAAAATGTCAATAACAAAAATTGCATTTGTTTGATCAGTGATGCCACTTGTTGGACGTAGTTATCATTGAAAAGTGATGGCCCGTTTATTTCCTGTGTAGCCATTTTATTTTTAGATAGAAAATCTGTGTTTCAGAGAGAAATCGTTCCAAAGTTGACTGACACGTAGTGACATTAATCAAATAACACTTCAACAATATTCCTCGAAAGGACGAAAAAAATATTAATTTAGTACACGAATTAATTTGCGCTATCATAAAAATGTTGCTTGACTTCCGAATTTTAGCATTTTGTTAACAGCAAAACAATGCCTAATATAGTACAGTGCGGGATACATAAATGTCTCGACTGATTGAATTAAGTTTAGTACAGTAGTGGAAAATTAACTGACTTTCGAGTAATTGTCTTTAAATACATTTATTCCATTCTCAATTGATTGATATGACTACAAGCTCATCGAAAATTTTCAAGAGGTCATTTGACCCAGCATGAATTACTTATAAATCAAATAAGACCCACTTCTTATTTGTGGAAGGGCGAAATGGGCGGTGACTATTAGACGCCTTCATTATAGCCATCTTTCTCTATCGCACGCATTTCTATGACTTACTTTATCGCTCTCACGTAACGGCAGATGGACCATCGGTACTTTCCGACCCTGTATGTTTAAAACTAGTAAAAATAATTTAAAAGTGCATTTGTTACAAAAACAACTTTAAGATTGTCGGTTATAAACATGAATAAAACCACATAAAAATTTACACGCCGACAAGAAAAAAGAGACAGAGAAAGAAGATGTTTCGATGGCCAGCTAGAATCTCGAAGCGGTAATTTTAATTTTAAAATAAAAATAATTCCAAATTTTTTAAAAAATATTAGAATGCAGATTTTTTTATTGATTTTTTAATAATAATTTTTTGGATTTTGAAAAAATTTTACTTATGTACTTGTGAAAAAAAAATTAATATATGCTTTTCAAATTTATAAAATTAATAATTTTTATATCGTCCTATGGTTTTTTAAAAGCATGTTACTTAAAAATTATTTTACATCTTAAATAATGTTTTAGCAACAATGCCGACCATTTTTCAATGAACGGAAGCCATAAGGGTCAGAATAGGGGTTTGCATGGGCTTGTAGTCTATGTGTAGCTTGACTTTCAAATATTTCTAAATAGACTTCAGAATTAAGCGTTTAAATAAATGTATTCTATTCTCAATTTATTGAATTAAAATTATTAAAGCTCAAATTAATTCGGATGATGGTGGAAAAGATGGAAAATTACTGACTTTCGAATACTTTCATTTGGTTAAAGCAAAATAATGCATAATACAGATGAGGATTCATAGAATGTGTTCCATTCGAATCGATCGAATTAGTAAACGCCCAAAACGACTTGAAAGACAATTTACTCATTTACGGTGACGCCAGGTTATCTCTATTTAAAATCGCAGACATTATACGCCAGCTACCATTCTCAGTATTGTATTTTCCAAGCGATTAAATAACAATGGCTCCTTTGGCGCTTAAAACAATCTGCGCAACAAACTGTTTATGTACAACACAATGGGTAATTGATTCTGTAGGTAAAAAATTCCCGTCTTAAAATTGGGCCCTTTTAAAAACATATTTTCCATCACAATGGGTCGCCCTCGACAAAGAAACGTCACTTTGCGCTGGAATCCGCGCCGTCACAATGGAAATAATTATTGCATTAAAAAGCGAAGATTTAACAGATTATACCACCTTCAAAGGATACCATTCACTGATAATACAAAAGTAAAAGTTACCGTTCCACTTTTTATCGGTTTAAGCAAAGCTTTTTCGTTCACGAGGCGACATAACTGAGTGCCTATAACATCTTCAATGGCTCGTATAATAATTATAAACAACCTACATGCGTTGACAACGACACCTGTTTTGTGTTGATGACAGATTATTTACATTTTAATTCGTATACAGTCACTGTGAACAAACAACAATAGCTTTATTGGCGTTTAATACAATCTACAACAAACTGTTTTTGTTCGACTTCCCGTTTCCAGAGAATGTAATTATTAAAAGCGTAATATATGGCATATAGCAGAATAGTCGACGGCGAATTTATCCCAAATGAAAACAGAGAGAAAGGTGTTTAATTCGTACAAATATACCGTATATTCAAGGATAACAAACTTATTAGTTAGTTACTATCGAGGTAGTTCGAGCGAGCGAAAGAACTGTGAGATTGATCGCGGCAAAAAGTCAAAAATCCCTAAATTGATCTCCCGAAGCGGCGGCACCTCTACGTGGCGCGTTAGTTTTCGCTGTTTTCAGTAACTTGTCAGGCGGTAAAATAATTAAGCCTCTAAGAGATAGGACTCTCTATTACCGAGGCTGCCGGGAATTTAATATTAGGCATTCGAGCCGTCCGCCCATCCTTTCGGCTTTAACGGCCGTGATAAATAATTTGTACGACAGAGCAGGAAATATTTCTTGCAATAAATGTAAGCAATCTTGTAGCCAAGTAGACCCAAATTATTTTCCAACGGCGGTTAATGAGCGTGTACGCGGCCTAATTGGTTAGAATATAATTCTGAAATGAGATGACTCACACAAATTAACACGTATCAACGCACGGCCAGTAGATCCATTACTCGCTTACTTATTCTCCAAAGTCGGGCCACTTACCTAGTTCTCCCAATGTAAATTAACAAAAAGTAACGAACAACGTATCTTACCAATTTTTTTTGAAATAAATATATAATTTATTTACGACAACCAAACGTACTGTTACCACTACTATGCAGTATATTAGCTGTTAATATATCTATCTGCTGCCATTACTATAAGAAAAATACAACTGTAGTCATTAATATATTAAATAATATGTAATAATATTTTAATCAGTGGCACAATTTATTAACCTTAAAAAACAGGTCAAAAATAGCAAAAATTCACGAAAAAGTGCTAGGAAAAACACAAACAAATTTTTTTGTATTCAAATGTTCATTTATATGGTTAAGACCCCGCCCAACGTGAATCAGCGGTCAGAATTGATGATTGTTTTTTTAACCTCAAAAAACAGGTCAATTAAGGTCAGATATCACGAATTTTCAAAAAAATAAGATTCGCGCCAAATTTGGTATAAGTAGGTTTACCCGAAAACGCCCATATATCGAATTTGGCGCGAATCTGGTATTTTTTGAAAATTTGGTCGGCCATCTTGGATCCGCCATCTTGAATTTTGCAAAATTGACATCGGATCCGTGATCAGCGACCCCGAAAACCCCCTATGCCTTTGGAGCGAATCTGTTATTTTTTGAAAATTCGTGATATCTTAATTGACCCGTTTTTTTTGAGGTTAGAAAAAGAACCATCAATTATGACCACGTATTCACGTTCGACGGGGTCTTAACCATATTAGTGAACATTTGAAAATAGAAAAAAAATATTCTTGTATTTTTCCTAGCACTTTTTCGTGAATTTTTGCTATTTTTGACCTGTTTTTGAGGTTAGGAAATTGCTGTGATGTGACAGCTCAATTCTGACACCGGATTCGTGATTAGGAAGCAAAAATACTACGGATAACATATGTCGCATGAAAAGTACAGACAACTTTTTTTTTGTGGCTTACGGTGGCCCAAAAAAAACGAATATTCTTTTTTGTGAAAATATGTTAATTTATCATGTTTTAAGAGCCCCCTCAAAAAATCAGGTCAAACAAAATTTTTTTAGAGGTCGCTCAAGATTTTTAAAAATTTCCAAAATCGTCAAAAATTTATTTTTTTTTAAACTTTTTTTTCGTCATTTTCTAGGTTGAAAAAAATCTCAATTCTGAAAATTTCAAATCGATACTTTAATTTCTAAAGGTCACTCATAATTATTTTTACTTTCAAAGTAGTGTACCTGTTTTCGAGCGACCTCTAAAAAATAAATATCAACGAACTAATAATTTTTTTTTATTGAATTTGAAGAACAAAGGAATAGAAATAAATCACTTAAATTTTAAAAAATTAAAAAATTATAAATATTTGATACTCTGTGCGGCAGTAAATTTTGTCTCGTGATTTATTTATATTCTTTTGTTCATTCAATTCAATAAAAAAATTATTAGTTCGTTGATATTGATTTTTAGAGGTCGCTCGAAAACATTTTAGGTACACTACTTTTAAAGTTAAAATAATTATGAGTGACCTGTAGAAATTAAAATATCGATTTGAAATTTTCAGAATCGAGATTTTTTCAACCTAGAAAATGATAAAATAACGAGAAAAAATATAAAAAAATCTATTTTTAACGATTTTGGAAATTTTAAAAAATCTTGAACGACGTTTAAAAAAAAATTTTTTTTAGAGTTCTTAAAACATGATAAACTAACATATTTTCACAAGACACGAAAAAAAATATTCGGTTTTTTGGGCCACCCTAGCTGTGGTGTAATTATCGGCTTCCTTCGAAAAAATTTGGAATAAAAAATCGAATTTAAAATAAATATGCGTGATTTTTTTAAATAAAAAACGTCCAAAACCGCTGACTACGCTGGCACCTTATGACTAGGTACAAAGTGTTATAAAACTTTCAACCACTAACTTTGTATATGAAATAGAAAGATTTAAATAAATAAGCATCGTTTTTCGACGATACGCCAGAAACTTAGAAATAAAAAAACTGCAAAGGCACTTAATAAATCACCGTCCCTGAAAATAACAAATCGACGTATGCCAACCCGACAACCCAACGTTAAATGTTACAACATAATATTACAAACGATTAAGACAATATATTGTTTCGTTGGTTGGACATGATACTACACGAATGCTTGGAATAATTGTTGGAAAGTGGAAGTACGTCGGTTTCATTGACGAGGCCATTCATTTTACGTTAAAAGAGAGATCAGAGAGTCCGTGTGTGTAGGAGTGAAGGGACTGGTGCACGCGGGTAGGGCTTTAAAAAATGGCGCAGTCCTTCTGTGTACACGTTTTACGCACATTCATCGTTCTTCTAATATATTATTCTCGGCATGTGACCACGCCGGGAAGTTTTAATATCGGGAGCCAAATTTTATGTAACATATCTGTTGTACCAGGGCACAGGTCCTTATGATATCGGTATATTCCTCGGATAACACCGCCACTTTAATATATTTTTTATTTGACATTTTTATTTGCCGCAGGCATACTAATGGTGCCGGGTTATACGTGACAAGGCTAAACAATATGTTACTTTCGCCCATACAGAACACCTCCTTATTCTTTTCTACCTCCGGAATTAATCGATTCCTATTTCCTTCTCGCACTTTTTCAGACCTTACCTAAATTCTGCTCAAGGATGTTAATTCATTCGTTGTTTTTAAACAACCTTTGTAAAAAGACGAATAATATGAAATTGCGAGCTGAGGATATTAAAATGTGTAGGTATGTATTATATTTATGAGAAATATCTGAAGCCCCTTATTGTCATATTTGTTCGAAACAGTATGACGTTTTTTTTTTGTGAAATTTCATATATTATCTTTACCCACCCTTTATGAATCTCAGCGAAATGAATACAGCTCTCGTAGAAAAAGAAACACCCTTTTCAAATATAAATATTTGCGTATATGCGCGGGCATATAGCTTTTGCAAGGTAAAACTTGATATAATAAAATTCCTACTGACAATATATCCCAACCAGAAGAGAACTAGTGGAAGTTCAATATTTTTTTTACTACAATCTTCTATTACATACGAAGTTTTTGTCATTCAAATTAAAAAAACGTCCCTTTAATTAAATGCCCCTTCTTTCTCTGGCGTTATAGTTCTATTCCTCATGTCTGAAAGTTGTTAGTAACTGTAATTGCTTTTGGGACCGGCTGTTAAAAATATGTTAAATGAGTTGGCCCTAATATTCTTCGAATTGGTGGAGTTCCCAAGCGACTCATTTTGACGTGTCGATTTAATTAAAATTCCCTACAAATGAAACTTCGATACGGAAAACAGTTACGACGGATTTTATTAAAAATGAATTAGTTTGCCCAAAACGGAACCGGTTTCGCTCGAACCACGCAAATTCACTTTCAAGTAATTGGTGTGATCGTTAATAAATTTACTTAAAAAAAAACAAAACCAAGTGGATTTTTCTTCATCGGACAGGAATACTAAATTTGATATACGAGAGAATACACATTCGCTGGAAAATACGAGGAAGGCGAAGTTATTTAATAAAACCATTATTTTCCCTCTAAGTCTACGTATCATAATCCAACTTTATCCCTTATTTGACGGATGTATGTAAATCAGAAATTTTTATTCAAATCCTCGAAGCTTTTTGTCAGGATATGTCGCAGCAATTTTTTGGTTGGAAAAATGAATATCTGTATTTAAATACTACTGTTTAGCTTAATACAACCCTTATATTATTATTATTTACGTTAGTCGTTGTTAATTAATTATTTAACAGAATTGTTTGGCCCAACAACCTTTAGAATTAAATTTTTCTGGAACTTAAAGATAAATTAGAAGCTTAAAGGTCGGTCGGGACGGATATAAAATCGCCCAATAGCGATTCCTACCAACATAATAAATTAAATTATCTCGGGCACAACCAGAACTCAGGAGACTAAGTTTCTGAGTTCCCAAGCTGTCAAGATTTATTAGCGGAAAAATTAGTTTTATCAATCAAGGTATGGCGAGCAACAGAAAATATTTTTACAAGAAATATATTTAGTGCTATCTGCCTCCCAGCCGTATTTTGTCGACTCCGGGAACTGATGAACCGGAAATTAACAAAGTGTCTGAGGTCGTTTAGGTCAAATGTCCTATTTTTCGGATCCGTCTTTATTGGGCATTACTCAAGCAATTTCAAGAGTAAGATTACGGACATGCGGACCGCCCTGATTGGATTTTTTTCTAACACCTCCCGGGCGCCATGTATGTATATACAGGGTGAATCTTAAATTTGCACATATAATTTAAACACCGGTACCACATGTGGACAAAATGTACACGCGAATGGATGAATTTTAATAAAATGGTAATACACTATAAAGTAGGATCATATTCGATGCGAAGTAATAAATCATTGCCTGTTAAGGGATCCAGTGCAATACGCTTTTGAGGGTTTTAGAAATTGAATAATTTCTTTATACATTATTAAGGGACGATGGGATCAGTTCACGTCTGGCACCCTTGTTCCTACAAAAATTCCTATATTCTCATAAACATTAATTATAAATCCATTTTTTTTTTTTAAATTCCACATATGTACTACATTTTACCTCTGTACGCGCCACTGTTGTTTACGTGTTTTTTGGGGGCGCTCTCTGATTTACGACCAAGCTCACCAGGTTAGTAGGTATTTATATAAAAAAAAAAGGAAATTGAAGTTTCAAGTGTCTAGTTTTCAGATCTGCAGTTTAAAATTTTTTAGCGTCAGCAGTATTTGAGTAATCATAAGAAAATCAAGGAGAAAAAAATTGTGAAATTTTGTTTTGACTGGCAATCGATTACTCGGGAAATAACAGTCGTACAGAAACCCAAGCAGGGTTTTGAAAATTGCAAAGTATTTTCTACAAGTCGTAATTATGGGTTTTTTTATAAAAAAAAATTTTTCCAAGTGAAAATGTTGGTTAGAAAAAAGGTATAAAATTGCATATTTGAATAATTGTAATCTGCAACGTTAAATCAACCAAATTTTTTTTGACGTTTGTGAAGCTTGTGGATATATTAAAAAAAAATTAAGAAAAATAATTTTTGAAAAAAAAAATATTTTTAATTTTTTTTAGAATCATGAACGTTTTTTGATGAAGAAAATATGTATTAATGCTAAAAAAAAACCATTTTTAATTTAAAAAAATAATTAAAAAATTAAAAATTATTTATTGTCACAAATTTAAACATTCCGGGCTCTTAAGAAAAAAAAAAAAATCGCAGCGTTTTTAAATTATCAGGTTTTTTTTATGACACTGAGGTCGAAAAGTTACAGTCCATATCCTAACCTAACCTAATCAACATTTTCACTTTGAAAAATTTTTTTCTTATCAAAAACCCATATTTACGATTTGTAGAGAATACTTTGCAGTTTTCAAAACCCTACTTGGATTTTCTGTACGTCCATTATTTCCCGAGTAATTGATTGCCAAAGTCAAAAATATTTTTTTTGCTTTGATCGACGATAACTCACCGACAAATAATCGTACAAGGCTCCGGAACCGCTCAAATTGAAGAGAATTAAATTATCTATGATGAAATTACCAAAAAAATTTTTGAAGTCCATAGGCCTTTTTAAAAAAGCAAAAATTTACAATTTTTTTTTCCGTTAATTTTCTTGATTACTCAAAAACTGCTGACCCTAAAAAATTTTAAACTGCAGATCTGAAAACTAGACACTTGAAGCTTCAATTTCCTTTTATTTTTATTCTCTCTACGACCATTTCCCTCCAAGTTACAGCTCTTTGAAAATCACCCAAAACTTTGGGATTTTTTTTTTAATATCCCTTAATTTCTGTGCCTAGAGTATATCCGTAAATATTTGTAATTAAAAAAAATGACTTACAATAGTAACCGGTAACGAGGAATTAAATTCCGCGACGCAACTAATGAAGAGTTTTGAATGAGATCGGAGTCAATGAGGCAACTTTAAAGCGTGGGTCTCGCGAGACTGGCAGTTGGGATGGGAGCGGCGAGTTTGAAGTAATAAAAAACAATGAAGAAATGTCCGACTTACCCTCCGATGCTTCTAGAAGTGGCGTAGTACGGCTCCCACACATTATCGGCGAAAGGGTCCCTGTACATGGGGATTTCGTTGGTAATTTCAGCGGCCCTTGATTGACGTTTGGAGAATCTCCACATCGCTTTGAGCTCCTCGCACGTCGGTTCTGTTGCCACTCCATTTTTACTAGACACTACTTCCCCCGTCCCCCGGTAGTCCTTGGTTCTAGGGAGAGCCAGAGCCAGAGCAGATATCTCGTTGAATACCAGCCATGCGGTTAGCCTCAGTATTGTTGAACTACAAATCATCTAAAAAAAGGAAACACCGTATATTCGTCGCACCCAGAACTTTCCCAGACACGAGATCAATTTCTACACGGAAAAAAATGTCTCGTAGAACTGTGGCTCTCCATCTTGCGCAAAATGTCAATAATTGTGATCAACAAAGTTTTTTGGTACAATATGGTAAAAAAATGTATTGTACTCTTTTTTGCCATAAAATAGAATTGAAATCTACATTTTATATGTCCCCCTATATTTCTAGTAGAAAGTGAGGTTATTTATATTCATGGTTCACTGTTATTTACTTGTTGTTTATTTATTAATTTCTATTTTCAATGTTGCTATAAATTGTAAAACAAAACAAAAGCATGTATTTATATATCATCAAATAATTCACTTTAAAACTGATCAAAATTTAAATTTAAAATTTAAAAATTTAAAAAAGATCAAATTTTAATTTAATTCATGAAATATCCCGCTAAAAATTATAAGTGTAGTCTTCTAGATAATGTCGTAATGTTGAGAACAAATAATATACTATTAAAGACCATACATTCACGATTTGTATATAGTGTCATTTAAATATACTTTAATGAAACAATTACAAAAAATAATTTTCGCAACAAGGAAAAAAATCCAAAAAACCAACAATGACAAAGCCAATAATAGTCGATTATAAGATACGTTTAAATTGCAAAGTACATAGATTTTATATGTAAGCTTTAATAGTAAATTTATCAAAAAAAAATTATTTGGAAATTAATTTTTTTGTTAAATACAGATAAAACTTTAAAAATTTACTGTGGCCGACCTAATCAACCGATTTCAATTTTTCAAAAACCATTTGAAAGTTCGAGCGGTTTTCAAGTATCTAGATGCTTTATTTGAGGTTGTGCAACATTTTGAAAATTCGAATTTTTTTTTTCAATTTTTTTTTCAAAAAAGTTGCGAAAACTATAGAACTGATTTTAATGAAATTTGGTGTGTCGTTTTATTATACTCTAAAGTAAAAAGATAAAATAAAGGGGTTTTTCAAGATAACTCAAGGGGTAAGAAAGAACTAGAAAAAAAGTTTCTTATAAAAATTGTAAATTCTACATAAAAATGGTTTATTGACTTTTTTATACCATTAAAATTAACAGGGTTAGGGTGGCTAGAAGTTAAGGGATGATTTCAGAAATTTAAAAAATCATAACAAGTAGATAAATGAATGAATTTTATAAATTTTTTTCCAATTTACTCTTAAAAGTATAACCTATCTTTTTAGAGAAATAGATATATTTTTTAATTTTTAATAAAAAGGTTATAACAATTTCACAAAACGAACGTTTTTTATCTTTGTCAAAACAAAATTTCGAAAGCAACTTTTTTTTATTTTAAATAATCAATTGAATGGCATAGAAATAAATTGTTTTAGTGTTTAATCATAAAAATTAACGATTAAAAAATTTTAATTGTTTTAACTTTTTTATTAAAAATTAAAAAAATTAAAAAAAAATGTATTTCTCTGAACAGAAAGATTACATTTTTTAGAGTAGATTGAGAAAAAAAATATGAAATTCATTCATTTTTTTGCTTGTTATGATTTTTTTAAATTTCTGAATTCATCCCTTAACTTCTAGCCACCCTAACTCTGTTAATTTTAATGGTATAAAAAAAAGTCAATATACCATTTTTATGTAGAATTTTATGCTTTACAACTTTTATAAGAAGCTAGCTCTTACCCCTTTTGAGTTATCTTGAAAAACCCCTTTTGTTTCACCCCTGGCCGGGGGTTGAAACAAATATTACTGTCATTTATTGTTATTATATACCCTAAACTAACTTATATAAAAAATTCAGGCAAGTTGACCAAATTGCGATTTAAAGGCTAATTTAATTGGACTACAAGTTTTTGTTAAACCTAAGCACAGTTAGGTAGGGGTAGTAAGCGTAAATTTAAAACCCACTCAAGGGAGCCGCAATGAAATTCTGGTCGGGCCCGGGATATTTTAATTTGGAACGCGTCATCGGAAAATGAATTACGAAGTTATTCTATGTATAAATTTTCTGGACATTTCACATGGTGCGGGTGGAGCAGAATCGGTAGCAGCGTCTATCCCGGTGAAATTGTCAAATCTATTTGAATGAACTTTCGAGGTTACCGAGCATAAAACTTTACTTGACGCCTTTCGTGTGGCCAGGAATACGTGATAAAGAGATTTTCATTTCGCTTGCGCTGTACAGAGGATAATAATAAAGTAAGATCAAACAAGTTGGATTTTGTCCGGATGTCTTAACTTTACGCGGGGCATTTTATAACGCGCCTTACTGTTCCGGCTTTATATGAGGATTTGAAAGTTACGAACATTGCGCGAAACAGGTGAACCGATTTTTATACGCGAAAATTTAATGAGGGGTAATAACTGACCGCCTCTACCTTTTTATTAAGGCTCGTATTTTCAAGAATACCTTTCCACCGCACAAGTATGATTTCCTTTAATCCTTTGGTGGATATGAACTAAATATAATAATTTTGCATCTTGGCCTTTTATTCTGAACAAAAACTCAAAAATGCATACAATTTTACCCTCCCTTATTTTTGTGCGGTCGAACGCTGTTTTCGAGAAAAAAAATGTTCAAACTTCGATGATTAAAAAGACAAGTGAAAAAGTAGAAATGTTCATAAACCTTGAGTTTCTTCCTCAGATCTAGATGGCAATTCGATTCAACTATATACAAACGGTAAGAGATACGAAGTAGCTTAAATGGTTGCAAAGTTGCATAATCAGGGGACCAACATTATGCCTCTAAAAAATCAAAACTAGCATGATTAGTTTTCGAGATATTTGAAAAAAACCGAAATTTTGGAAATCCGTTTTTGTTTCATTTCAGGTTTGTTTGAGGTGAGATTAAAAAAAGAAGAACGCTTTCTCATGGCAACTTTTTGCCCTCTATAGGATGGCATAATCAATTTTTATATGTAACGTTTCGTCTCTCCAGAACCATCACCACCCTCATTTTTTTAAATACGACCTTGGAAATTTTATTACATTTTTTGCAAGCCTTCATGACCCCCAATACTGTACTGCCCCAGCCCGAACCAGATACAGACGTTTTGTCTCGAAAAATTCATCTTCAATGTATTCGGTCCAAATTTATCTATACATGAAGATGAATTTTTCGAAACAAAACCTTTGAATCTGGTTCGGGCTGAGACAGTACAGTATTGGGGGTCGTGAGGGCTTGCAAAAAATGTAATAAAATTTCCAGGGTCGTATTTAACAAAATTTAATTGATGATGGTCCTGGAGAGACAAAACGTTACATATAAAAATTGATTATGCCATTCGAAAGGGGATAAAAAGTTGCCATTAGTGTTCTTCTTTTTCCAATATCACCTCAAACAAGCCTGAAATGAAACAAAAATGGGTTTCCAAAATTTCGTTTTTTTTTAAATATTTTGAAAACATGTTAGCATTAATTTTTTAAATGCATATTGGTCGCCTGATTATGAAACTTTGCCCACATTTAACCTACTTCGTATCTCTTACCGTTTCCGTGATCCCTATAGTGAGAAGCGGAGACACGCAAAAAAACGAATATTTTTTTCGCGTGTCTTGTCAAAATATGTTAGTTTATAGTTTATAACGTTTTGAGTCCCTTCAAAAAATCAGCTCAAAAAAATTTGTTTTAGAGGTCGCTCAAGATTTTTAAACATTTCCAAATTTGTCAAAAATTGATTTTTTTTTATTTTTTTCTAGGTTGAAAAAAATCTCGATTCTGAAAATTTCAAATCGCTATTTTAATTTCTCAAGGTCATTCATAATTATTTTATCTCTAAAAGTAGTGTACCTAAAATGTTTTCGAGCGACCTCTAAAAATAAATATCAACGAACTAATATTTTTTTTATTGAATTTGATGAACAAAAGAATAGAAATAAATCACGAGTCACTTTCTCGAGGCAAAATTTACTACCGCACTGTGAGTATCAAATATTTATGATTTTTAAATTTTTTAAAAGTGTGATTTATTTCTATTCTTTTCATCAAATTCAATAAAAAAAAATTATTCGTTCGTTGATATTTATTTTTAGAGGTCGCGCGAAAACAGGTACACTACTTTGAAAGTTAAAATAATTATGAGTGACCTTTAGAAATTAAAATATCGATTTGAAATTTTTAGAATCGAGATTTTTTTCAACCTAGAAAATGATACAATGAGTAAAAAAATTTTAAAAAAAATTCAATTTTTGACGATTTTGGAAATGTTTAAAAATCTTGAGCGACCTCTAAAAATATTTTTTTTGAGCTGATATTTTGAGGGGGCACATATTTTCACAAGAGACATGAAAAAATAATATTCGTTTTCTTTGGGCCACCCTACTGTATATCAAGGTTGGCAAATATCATGATATTTATATAAATATCAAATATCGGATATATATCTTGATATATATTGGATATATATAGTCTTGATATTTATTTTTTTAAATTAATTAGTTTATGTATAATATTGTAGTAGCGAAATAAAATTAAGGACTATTTAGGTAAATATTTTCATTCCAAATATCAAAGACAAGAACGAAAAAATAAATACGAAAGTACTACGAAGACTAACCAACTCAACATAAATTTCATAAATATTAAAACAAATACAAACACACATCACCTGCTCGAATTGACATAACACCTGGAGAAATAATGAAATAAAAATATTCATTCAATTTTACTTTGTTGAAAAGTTCGGGGAATCACGTAAATAAACACGTTCGTCAACGATGAGCATACGGTTTTGCTGCCATCTGTTAACAGTTTTAGCAACTTTGAACCAATAGGAATCATTATTTAAATTTTTATAAATATCATGATATATATCGAATAAATATCGCGATAGATATTAATGATATATATCGGATATATATCATGCCAACCTTGCTGTATATGTACCACTTTTTGTCATATGATTGAAAATAAGAAAAGAAAGGATACGTGTTAAATATTTTAAGCAGATCTTTTGAAGAATAAATAAAAAATAAAAGGGAAACG